GAGAGCTCTCTTGATACAGGCACTCCTGTTCCACATATCGACCGTTCACACAAACACCTGCTTAACATTTCAGCCCATCAAAAAGAAATGGCAGAGCACGTTTCTGAACGCTATTCATCAGCTCAAGGCAGCGCCGTCTTTTTGTCTGTCAGACGCCGTCTTTTCGGAGCGCAGATAAAAAGAAGAATGAATGAGGAGGGGGAATATTCGACTGAAGTCAGCACATGATAGTTTCATAAATCAGCTGGCTGGAAATAAAAAGAGTTGAGGGAATAAATGAGATGTGGGGGCGATGAATAATGTATGGACCAGAGGGATGGGTTAGAGGCAGAGTCGCGGTACGCTGATGTTCTTCTTAGTGTTAACTTTGAATGTAGAGTTGTTCTCTAATGTACAACATGCTTAGAGGATTCTGATCTTAGCAGTGGTGGAAAGTATACAAGTAGCCTACTGAACAAATCTGAGGTACTTGTACTTCTCTTGATCATTATAGACCCGTGAAACACAAGAACATATACAAATCACACTGAAGGCATTAGTTGTTTAATTCTCTGACATAATTGCAATTCATTTCAATATGATAAACCTTTACTCGTGTTAAAAATAAAATGCAGAAATATATATCTACTGCTTTTCATTTGAATCATTTGTTGAATATTTTGGGGGGTTGGGGCTAAGTGTTGGACAAACAAGCACTGTGAAGGTGTTGCTTTGGGGTATTGGTTGACGGCAGCGCTAATTTGTGAAATGTTACAAATGGATACACTGAGAAAATGATCGTTAGATGAATCCATAGAAGAAATTCAGTTGAAATCCTATTTGGTTTAAAAATGTTGCTTCATATCAAACAACTACAAATTCAATCTAATAATCCAATGATAAAACATAAAGTATAACAATATAACCCTCAGGGGGTATTTTTCAGTATACTTTTATTTCTTGCATTTTCAAGACAATCCTTTTGCTAGTAGGCCTATTGTAATATTTTTACAGTACACATGCTACTGACTAGGTAACTTGGTGTATGTGGATCTAAAAGCGATATTATCCATAAAAACGTCACTGCTGCCTGCACTAGATTCAGACATGAATTAGCACACGACGCTGAAGTTGGCTTCCGATTCAGAGCTTCCGATTCGGCAGTTAAGGGGAAAGTTAAGAGAAATTTAATTTACAGCGCTGAGCGAACAATCCTCCGTGTGTGAACCTCTTAAATCGCTGCATAGACGATTTATTTGGACTGGATTATCCCAGAGAGTCTAAAGATTCTTTATAACACAGTTTGAGATTCGTGAAACCTTAATTCTATTTGTGAAAATTTAAAAAATTGAGATTTCAGTGCTTTTTTCGCATCTTGACCACAGAAGACCAGGTCCTGATCTAAAACCACTATACCTAGACTCATCAAATCTGGACTGGATTATCCCAGAGAGTCTAAACATTCTTTATAACACAGTTTGAGATTTGTGAAACCTTTATTCTATTTGTGAAAATACAAAAAAGGGAGATTTCAGTGCTTTTTTTGCATGGTCTTGTCTTCCCCTGTGCTCCATGTCTGTTCGTCGTCGTTTCTCGTCTATGATACCTGTTAGTCTCTTTGCTCTTGTCCATGCTACCTGTCACGCTCCATGTTTGTTCCTGAGGTTTTTTGTCCTGATCCTTCCTCCTCGCACTCCCCCTGGTTTTGGTATGTTAAATTGTTCCTCGTTTTCTTTTGTCATTCAGCTTTGGGAAATAAAGCTCGCTTTTTGTTACCTGACCTTTTAGTCCTTTTACTGCATTTGGGTCCTATTTTTCCCCAACCCTGACACTGAGTCTGCTTCAAATTCACTTATTATCCTCACAGGATCATTTTATTAAAGTTAAAGCAAAACTTACTAAAGCATTCTAACTGTTTATGCTTTAACAGAAATTAATAAATGATCCAGCTTTGCTTTTGGCTAACTGTTTTTGTTGTTCTGCTTTATGATTGTAATGCATGACTGTGCCAACATGTGTCTCCTCCTCCCTGCTCTTGTTTGTAGGCTGCACCTGCTTTTCAGGAGACCAGTCCTCGCAATTATGTTCTTTCTGCCAGTGCATCAGCGGTAAGAGTCCATCACAAACTGCAGGGTCTGTCACCCAGCAGGAGCTAGGCTAACATGCTAACAGGCACAGAGCCGTAGAACACCACATACTCCAAAAGACAGATGATGTAGCTCACATCAGGGCACAGAGCTGCTGCAGCCTCACCTGACCCAGCAGCTCGTTGGCTAAAGCTATTGAATGTTGTGTCGGAAGCATCCTGAGGCCACAGTGGCTTCAGAACATGTATATAGTCTATCTTAAAAAACATCTTGAATTTATTTGTAGAGAGTTAGTTTGTTATTTAACAGGTATGGAGACTTTTTTTAGTTTCATACATTTAAAAAAATACATTGTTAGAATTTCTAAAAAGTACTCTTACTCAAACCACTAAAATAATGTAAATGAAGCAAAAAGGCTCCTGAAATCCTTTCACATGTACTCACCAGTGTAACGCTGCCTTGCTGGGGTCCCAGTATATTTAAACTGCATGGGATGACGGCTACTAATGAGCACTGCACATGATATATATTTGGAATGCTTTATGGATTGAAGTGGGGGCTGCATTTTGAATTCTTAAACAAGTTATTCTTATCAGACTGTGGCATGACCTTTGCAACACAAATATAATAAAGTGAGCATGTTTAGCACGTTTTGATATTGTTGCATGCTGTTTATACTTTTTTTGACATAGAAAAACTATGATTACTAATGTACATATAGCTTTACACTGGTATGATCTGGAACTGTGACAGGCTCTGAAAGACTCCAATCCACTTCCGTAGTTGCACTTATAAAGGGAAACAATGGCCTTAATGAGTCTAACTGGTCACAAAAAACAAAGATTTTTAGAGTTTTAGATTAGGACCTGGTCTTTTTATTACATGACATGACATGTTGCTTGTTAGACGCTTTTATCCAAAGCGACTTACATACTCATTACTGTGGGCAATCCCCACAGGAGCAATTTGGGGTGAAGTGTCTTGCCCAGGGACACAACGACATGCTGACTGCAGGGGGTTTGAACCTGTGACCATCTGTTTCCCATACCAAGGCTCTATCCACTGCGCCACACGCCTCTTATGTGGTCTAGATGCGAAAAAAGCACTGAAATCTTCCTTTTTTTAATTTTCACAAATCTCAAGCTGTGTTATAAAGAATGTTTAGCCTCTCTGGGATAATCCAGTCCAAATAAATCGGCTATGCAGCGATTTAAGAGGTTAAAACACGGAGGATTGTTCGCTCAGCGCTGTAAATTAAATTTCCCTTAACTTTCCCCTTAACTGCCGAATCGGAAGCTCTGAATCGGAAGCCAACTTCAGCGTCGTAATTAACACTACCTCTTAAGAGTGACATTGGTAAATAAATATCAAAACAAAGCAAACCAAATGGCAAAGAAGGAGTTTTTGCTGGCTGTTATCGTACTGCGTTAATATTCCAAAAGTACCCAGGGGGCCAGTGTGAGTGTGTGAGTGTGTGTCTGTGTCTGTGTGTGTGTGTGTCTGTGTGTGTGTGTCTGTGTGTGTGGTTTCACATTAAAGCACACAGGCTCCTGCATCCGGGAGTCTCTGGGGTGGGGAGATGCTGTGCAGTGAATTCCTTAATGCTGTGATTCAACCTCATACTACCAAGCAATCAGCATCACTGGATGTAAAGGATTCAGGCATGGATGGAGGGTCTACCCACATTTTCATCTTGGAGAATATGTAGGCTAACATACTGGAATTACTATTTTTCACACACACCAAACAAATGCAAGTTATGTGTTAGATGAGACTAATAAGGACTTTTAAACATACACTTGAAGTGAACACAACTGTGAAATAAGACAACATGGTACTTTGTTTGTGTGGGTCAGTCATACAACACGGGATTGAAAGACATGTCACATGCAGGCTGGAGTTTTTTGGGAAGGGGCCTTAAAGAGACAGGCACTACAACAGAGTGTTTCAGAACAAGAATGACTACAAGTATAATCAAACAGACAGTATGAGAAAAATAAAATGTTTTCTGACCATTAAAACATGTAAAGATGTTTCAGTAAAAACCCAAAATACAAGTATGAACCCAAAAGATTAGGATGATATGTCCCCTTTAAACATAAAGGTCAGTTTACTATTAATTGGGATATCTTCTCAAAAAGAGTGTGACCATTTTTTTTTTTTGACATGGAGTCTGCATTTCAGACATTCATTTTAAAAGAAGTGATCAATTACGAGTCAGGGGGTGTTGCATCTTGGGAAATGCAGGATTTAAGTGTGATTTGCTCAGCGTCTGCTGCACCGATTGCCTTTTTGTTTCTATCTCTTCTTAAGCCCCCAGCCTAAAGGAAATGCATTACTAAAGTGTTAGAGTGCCCCTTTAATGTGAAACACAAATAAGGGAGATTTGGGTTATCCAGAAAAATTGATGTTTTGCAATGCATTGCTGACAACCCAGAAGATCACACATCACTAACTCCACACACACACACACACACACACACACACACACACACACAGTACAGTAGAGCAGGACTGTCTGCCACATTAATTAGTGAAAGTACTGACGCGGCGCGGAGCTGTCCACATACCGCGGTGCTGAAACACACCGCTGCCGCAATACAACTCTAATCTATGAAAAAAAAGTGTGCACGTGTCAAACATAGCTGAAGGATCACAATACCTCATCATAAACACTTAAACGGAAATAACTCAATCAACTAAAAGCATGAGAATGCAACATTGAGAGTTACAGAGGGAGTTATGCAGGTGAAGTGATACCCCTCCTAGAATCGAGCTATGGCAGCATGACAAAGCTTAACGCAACATGATCATAGCAAAACCACACACAAAACCGGCAAAACTGCATATCAGCTCCCCTTAAAAATCATGCCGGTGTTTCCCAGAATATACTTAGGCCGTGCATACTTAGCTGCAGCCCCGATCATTACTTACACATAAGCGTGGTAGATGAACGCCCATCCCCGCGGTCTCTCCAGCGCATTGTAGAGGAAACTCTGTAGTTTCCGATAGCTGGCATTTTTCTTCGATGGTCGGGGTCTCCCGGCGGAGATGCTGGACCTCGGTCTGCAGAGGATGCTGTTCCGCTTGGTGCTGTCCGAGCCCGCAATGAGCAGCGCCCCGTCCCTGCTGGATTCAGGAGCCCCGGGGTCCAATCCGACAAAACCGACTTTGTGCTTCTTCTCCCCGGCTTGAGTTGGGTAAACCCCGCCGTTGAGAGATTTCTTCACCATCCTAAAGTCGGCTCTAACGAGGAGTTGTCCGTGCCCGTGCCGCGAGGATGCATCCCCGGTGCTGAGGGGTGTGTGTGTGCTGGTCCTGAATGCAGTCAGTGTCGGTGCCCCCTAGAAAACCAATTGCAATAAGCATGCGAAACTGCACACTGTATGCTTTTCACGTTAGCCCCTTCCGGCCATTTGACAGACACAGCAAGGAGGCACATTATCTGCACAGTCTTATCATGTTGGCCATCAGAAATATATCTGCAATCATAATGAGACAGGAACACTGCAAAGTTAAATTGAACATGCATCCAGCTGTCTTCTAATGCAATAACAGCTGGTCTGGTGCGTCACTTTGGGGCTCAAATCTTTACAAGTTATTGATTAGAAGAAGATCTTCCCTGTGGTTTCACCGCATTTTCGAAAAAATATGCCCCAAAATAACCTTCCATCCTCTCTTCTGCAGGGAAGAAGATGCATGATCATGCAATATTCATGTGTTGGCTCTCTTATAAACTATGTCAAGCTTTGTTTTTGTTTAATGTTTGAGTCCTCTGATTGAGCAATGTTGAAATAAACATACAGTACTTGCCAAAATCTAAAGGCATCTGTCAACATGCAGTTAAGACGTAAAAAAAGAAAGGCTAATAAAGAATCACGTAGCTGGGCATTAAAAGGCAACATAATGTACATTAATTAAGGGATTAGGACTGAATAATGTAAATGCATAAGAGTAGAAGCAAATTCAGTAATGTGACATAAAGCAGAGTTATGGAGTTTCAAAAGGAAACTACTTCAATCAAAGGCTAGTAGAGACAGCCTGCTGATCAGGTGGACTTCCAAGTCATTCATATACAAGTACTGACAAACACAGTAGACCAAAGCAACAGAAACAGAAAACACATAATAAAAAAACAGAACAATGAATTGTAAAAGAATAAAAGAAATTCCTCACAAGAGGGATACCACTTGCCAACATCATCATACTGTGAACATTTTTATTTTCTAACTTGTTAAGATTGCATTTACAATGATAATTTTAGAAAGATTCAAACAAGATTCCTTTGTACAGTTATTTTCAAGCAACATCAAAATTGCAAATAAAGTATATACAAAAACATTAGAATAATGTAAATAAAAGTGTAATCAGTGACATGATTGTTTGTCCAGCTACAGTACACCAACATGCTGCAGTCATTAGCTAATTTAAACTGGTAAAACACGTAGAACCAGATTATGGTAATAAATGCTGCATTCTGGGATTTTTATACAATATACACTGCTCGGACTAAGAGCACATTTGATGAGGGGGAAGGAGAAATATCCGCTGAGTCTTACATGTCAACAGAGGGTTGAAATTGACAGTGGCCATGCTACTGCCAAGGGATGTGGGGAGATTATTCTCACATGCTCCGATTGCTTTTAAATAAATAAAAAGGACTAAGTGATCTGCCTAATGAACGCAGCATGTCCAGACAGAGTTATGAAATGCATGTCCAACCTTTTTAACAGTCAAAACGTTGTCAGTGAGGTTACGCTCAGCAAAGAGAAACTCTTCAAAATGCACAGTCATGATCACAATTACTGTATTACACCATCAAAATAATCAAATTTCCCTTATAGCATTAATCAGACATATCCTATATATTATTATCTGACTTTGCTACAGTTTGTATGTACAACTTAAAATATTTTGTAAAATAATGTTACTGTGTTTCAGCTCTGAAACGATCCCTTTGTTGACGTCACCCACAAACTGCTTACAGTACTTTTTGCTAACACTTGAATGGACCAATCATTGTGCTTATTTGAATACCTACAGTAAATACAACAGTTCCCAGACAATGTAAAAACCAATTAAAAAAAAAAATCAAAATAATGTCTTAGTTGACAGAAGGCAATCCTTCAACTAGCACATTTTGAATTAATATATTAATAATTTAATAACCTGTTGAATCGTGTGCTTATGACAAGCAGCCTTGTATGGTTTGATTTAGCTTCCTTTGTCCTGATTCGGATTAGCTAGCTTCTGCTCCTCTTCCCTCCTTTTGCTCTCCCTGAATGTAACACTTCCTGACGTTATATGACGTGTCAATACATTTAAAAAAACACACACACACAAGCAGTTAAGTCTTAAAAATAAAATTAAAAAAAGGCATGCCATTGGTCCTTTAAATACTGTTCAATACGGAGGATGGAATGCTTTTAGATTCTTTAATACCTGATATAGTATAAGTGAGGGATAAAAATACTCCTTCCGGACACAATAAATAACTATCCTTCATATAGTGCCGTAATACAGTACTCACACTAAAACCTACAGTAATTGCACAGTAACCACATGCAAAGGGCTGAAAGAGCAGCCCTCCCCCTCTATCATCCGTCTTTTCATCTTTCCATCAAACCCTACTTTCATCTCTCTGTCTATTCTTTGACTTTCAAATCTATTCAGTCAGCCAACATATGTCAAATACCAGGGTATTCCACTTCTCTCGGGGTCCCAGCATTAAGCCCTGGGGAACACCAGCCAAACAGAGAAAGAGACAGGAGTTGCAGTCCAAGACATAAGATGACAGTCAACTAAAAGGTAGTTTGGTTAATCCAGTTAATAATAAGAGTTTGATGAGGAGCTTAATCATTGGGTGATGCCTGAAGTTGGCCTCTCCTCTTAACTTGTGAATATGTTCGCACCAGATGTGTGTAGACAGACAGGCAAAGCAATAACACTTCTATCTGGTTGGCTTCCAACAGCAGTACATAGTCTTGAGTTTCAGGCTGTGTCATTATCACTGTAGATGCTCTCTGGTAGCTGTCATTAGTCATTTGTACAGTTGTGTTTTGTCTGTACTCTGCACAGAAGACTAGTGGTATCCGTGATGGAATGATCCCTGAAAATGGAGCAGTGGGGGAGGATCTCCTGGACAGAAACCGGTGAGACTCGCACTCTTTTGTTAATGTCATCTCTCGTCATATCCTTCACATTCACCCTTTCTCTGACAAGCTTGCTGAAGTGACGGTTTTCTTTAGAGGTCTCCATCTGAAGGTGGCAAACACAGCTTGAAGAGCCTGTGGAAAAAGAACAACTGGATGTGAGAAAATCCATCTTGTCCAAGACCATATTATTTTCTGATGGCATAAGAAAGATGCTAAATGAAGTTGTATACAGTACCTTGGGAATGCTGGAGTCATCTGGTCCATAACTTTGAGATTTTTAGCAGAGAGCTCAACTCTTGGCCCCTATTAAAAGAGAACAAATATGCTATAAGCAAAGGTTCTAAAGAGTTTTGCAACTTCAAGCCCAGTTTTGATTGCTAAAAAACGTATTTGGACCACATTCATTCAAATACATAAGAAAAACAAAACATGACAATAACTAAAATACTGGACCTTAAAAATATATTATGCCACTGTCAACTGTAATGATCAAAAACAAATGAACATTCCTAATTATGCAAAAATGAACTAGCCTTGTAAATTACGACCATAAACAACAACATTTTGCAGTTCCTCCGCGGCCCACATAAATGCTGGCTCAGCATCCAAAAATCTCTATATGTCTAGAAATACTTGCTGTAAAGCAGATGCATTATCATAAAACACATCGATTATTATTTGATACAATTGACCAAATGCATCAATGTGGTAGAATTGTTCTGGTTCAGTTAAAGAGTAGGTGAGAGAAATGTTCGACCACTATAGTAACTCTAACTGTGTATCAAATGAAGGCTGGGTTATGAGGAGGTATTAATACTAAACCACTTTTGGTATATCAGTACCGTGACAATGTGATTATACCTAGTTATCATTAAAAAGTTCTGTTGTTTAAATACATATTTCTAATCTAATTGTTTTCTGTTTACTACTTTAACAAGCTCAGGTATTTAACGAAAGACGTAATAATGAATGTGAAAAAATAAAAAGAATATTCACTCATTCATTTTGCATTACTGAATTATGCCCAGTCCTAGTTTCTACTAAATTAATTTCTAAGGTAACGAAAGGATGTTAAAATAAGAGTGAAAAAGGTTTTTTTCTAGTTTTTCTGAAATAATTTATAAAGAAAAACGTGCAAATAATCTGCCTTAGAGTTGTACCTGTTTGCGCATTATATCCATGGTCTGCATGATGCAGCGCGGCATGAGACCGTGGTTCCTCGATAGTATCATTGCCTGCTCCAGTGTCACATTCAAGGTACATCTGCCAAAAATAAAAACATGTGATAGGTCAGTAAGAAAGACACTAATAGGGTTGATATATATGGACATCTGTATCAGCAGTAGAAATGAATTCAAAACTGTGAGTTGAAGCCTCAGTCCACTGCGCTAATCTTTATTCCAGCTGACAGTCGAGTGGTGCTTCACAATCAGTCTAATCGTGTTAGGGTGGTGCCAGGCTGACCTCTGCATGCCGGTGCCACACATGGTGATGTGGCAGGCTCCCAGGCGGTTACACAGCTCCGAGGACACGCACAGCACGCTGACACCTGACGGGTGGCCCTGGGCGCTGTGCCGCACGTTGACGTACGACTGCATGAGTCGGCACAGGTCGTCCAGCGTGTTGAGGGGTCGCAGCAGCTGTGAGGAGGAAACCAAGGTCAGAGAGGGTCAGCGGTTAAATGGACAGCTGAAAAAAGTTACAGTACAGTGTGGCAAAAGTGGCCATCTCACCAAGTCATTTAGAGTATTATTTAGTGCAATTCAGTTTATTGGTATATACAGTTAAAACTACATAAAAATTATTGATTTCCTACGTACTGTAGTTCTGAAAATGTTCTTAAGGCAAGACAGTATATTTAAAAAACACAATACTACCAAATAGTACATTAATATCCATTAAATTAGACAGAAACTAGATTTGTATTTTTTTGTATTTTGAGATCATATTACTTGTTTTTTGATAGAAAAGAGTTATATATATATATTTGTATTAAAATGTAATTATATTTCTCAATACAAAACATGTGATTTATAGAGTCAATATGTATTTTCTTTTTCTAATACTTAGTTGCAATTTGTATAGGTTTATGAGGCTACAGAAAGTTGACATGCTCAGGGCTTATGCAATTTATATATTTGATTATTGAAGACTAGACTAAGTAAAGTAAATGGCTTGTTAAGATGGCGCACCAGCAGAAAACATTCAAAAATGACACAAATCATTGTACAAATAAAAAGGTGACATTATAGATCTAGATATTAACACTACTGTATGTTCTATTGGTTTTAATAACTGGAATCTAGTTCAGCTACAGTCAGTTTGGGACACTACCGTTTGATTTCTAATCCAATCATCACTGAGGTTCAAATGGAGGCGGTTTATAATGTTGAGGTTAGTTGGAGTTAATAGGGGAGTCTTGAGCAGCTACAGTGGAGTGGGGGGGGGGGGGTGGGGGTCCCAGTGTGGGGAACAGGACACCAGTTCATCTTACTTTTGAAATGCTTGGTTGGAGGTCTCTAACTTCAAGGCCCAGTATCTGTGCTTGCATTTATATTCAGTCACAACATTATATAGAAAAATTGACTTATGTTACAAGAACAGGATGCAAGTGATATAAGACCAAATTGACTGCAAGAGAAATACATGAAAAATGTATCGGGGTAGGTTTGTATTTACCTGGTCGATCTTCATTGCTGTGGTGTTTGAGTCTGTAGGAAGATTGGATTTCTCCAAATAGAAAGCTCTGTTGGAATAGAAAAACATATCTATTTCAGTTTTGAAAACCTCACCACCTTGATTGGAAATGTACAGATTGTTATTGCAGCACGCTGTGTGTGAGAGCTGAGTCATCTTCACTTTATGGATTATGCATCTGCTATGGTACATATATCATCATGTATTGATGTTGCATGAGTCATATCCCAGGAATGTACATGCTCATATGAGAAATTACTGACGTAAAAAAAACGTGTTACAGGGAATGAACAAAAACAATAAACTAGAAAAAATGAAACAACTAAAAGCATTCATATATATGTAACTTGTAAACCTTACCTCTATTTAAAGAAAAAGAATTGCGACATGACAGTTATAGCACTTAAATACACATGAGGTTTTATTCTCAGCTTGTCTTGCACATAAAATACATTTTATTTTCGGATAGAGATCAAGCAAAAAGGAAGATTTTCAGTGTTTTGACCTGTTCATCAAATTAAAGGGGCCCAATAAGGCTAATTGTTAAACTCTGTGTTCACATGTAGCCAATACAAATCCTTAGTTGGTGGGTGTGGGACAGGTTTAAATAAATGAGTCCCACCCAAAAAATATTCTAGCCCCTTAATAATAGCTCAGAGTAAAGCAATGGAAGTGTAGTTTCTGCCATGTTATGCAACACCACGGGCTGAACTCTCCCTTTAAGGTGAAATAGATCCTGAGTGCTGGTGAGTAACTCCTCTGGAGGGCTGTGATGCAGTGTACTGTAGCTGTACCTGAGTCTGCGGTAGTAAGCCTTGACCTTCTCCAGTGAGACAGCGTTGGTGCGCTGCTGGATCTCCTCCATGGCTGCGTAGTCCTGCTGGGACACTCCCTCCGGACGCTCCAGAGCTGGGTTAAACAGGCAGGAGGCATTTAGATTTACACACAGTAATATGATAACATTTATCATGCCTTCTAACAAAAAAAGGTTTGAGGATGCGATAATATGAGTCTTAACAGACAATGGTCACAAAAAACGTCAACATCTGCTACTGTGTATTGCAATTCTTCCACACAGCCTGCAGTAAAGACTAGTTTCCAGTAGGTGGGAGTGTTCCTCCACAGATCTGCACAACGGAGCACTCTGCTCCACGTTAACTTACACAGGAACAATATGAGCTCTCTCATTGGGTTAGTGTTCCAACTGGCACTTGTCTGTGGAAAATTAATGGCCATTTGGCAGACAGGAGTGATGCCTAATGCTATCCATTCATTCTAGGCCAGCGGAGTGATGGAGAGCTATGAGGCGAATGGCAGCAAAGGAGGATGCAATGGTGGAGTGTTTTAAATGGCCAATAAAAGGCTTCAATGTAACTTAATAAAAGCATATAATGCTTTCAGGAAATGTGCATGAGTGAGAGGCTGCATACTGCACTGAGAGTGTTCTTAGATTATACAATTTGAAGTCTACAGAAGATATTTCATGCCCTCCGATAAAGTCCAACACTCCCATTTGGCTCCGTTCACCTTTATAATGGAATTAGGATTTAACTATATATTTAAAAAGGATTTTATCATTTAACACATTGGTCATCATTATTTATAGGTTATCAGATTTAGTTTAATTGGCTCTCGAGCCTTTTAGGATGTACATTGTCATCGAAAAACTTCTAATAAACACAGATTTTAATCGTGGAACTATTGTTGGTGTTTCTGCCATTTTTAATGACCAGGTGGCCTTGTTTTGACAAAGGGGAGACCTCTTCAGATAATTAGGCTCCTGACTATTATCTGGTACTCGGGTATTACATTTCAAAGGAACAACACCCAGCCCTGAGAGCCATTGTTGTGTTCTTCCTTACTTATTTATCTCCACCCCTGACTTCCAGTTTTTTTAAGTCCCTCTAGCTCTTTGGTCCCGGCCCGCCCAGTCTTACCCCTGGTGAAGAGGACGGTGTGCAGTTTGAGGCTGCCTCCGTTCTGCAGCCGGCTGGGCAGCTCACTGAAGTGACAGCTGTCCAGGAACAGGGTGACCCTCAGGGCCTGTCTGCTGCCCTCCACCTGGTAACACACTGGTGAGTCTGCAACACATAAACAAAGACAGAAGAGATTTTAGCAAGACTGCTATTTGATCAAGTTGTCTCTCTCGCTAAGATACTCAATAAATGAGAACATGAGAAGGGTAAGGGGCTATGAAGTTAGTGACCTTAAGGTACCCTCAGATCATTTGTGACAGACTTCTACAGAGTGAACTCAAACAGTTACATATCCAGCATTAATAATATAGAAGGTAATAGTGAAGTTTGACAGTAAATTAAAAAAAGACACGTGTAGTTTTGGCAGGATACTGTTTGTTGTTGTAATATTGATTTCGGCCACAAGAGGCTGAAGTGCACCACAACATCATGTTCTAAATAGGACTCAAGACATCCTTTTTTTTAAGTTAGTTTTAAGTTCTCCACCGTTATGTAACCTCCAAGCACATATCCTATGTCATTTTAATTTAGAGTCCATGGAGGAAAAGAAAAAAAAGCTGATACAGATTGTTTTTACATAGCAATGTTTCCCCCCAAACGGTTTGAAAAGATTACACTGGAAACACCTAGATTTTAACCTGTTCTCAAATCATAAACCCTTAAAATAAAACAATTTAAATCAGACTTATACACACGGTCTGTGTTTATTATATATTTTACTTATTTTAAACCATTGTTTAGACAAGATATTATTAGAGTTAGTAACATATATCATAAAAACCTATTCTCAATCTTCGGTTAGGGCTGTCTGATTTCAGATATCTCTATTATGTCTTATAATTGTTCATGATTTTTTCAACTGCTTTTGAATACATTAATTCAATGTAACCTTATCTCATCCTACAAACAACATATAACCAGTAATAATTTATGACTCCTAACACTTTCTGACAGTGGTGCATGAGCAGTTCCCAGAAAATGGATGCGATGACCTTTTACAGAGCAACCTCTGGGGTCAGTGCTCTTTTCTCAAGAACCCATCAAGCTGTAATCCTGTGGAATTGGCTGTGATGCTTCAGGCTGAACTCTGGGGCCTCAGACTCTGTGGTGCTTTCATGATTCCTCCCCTACCAGCAGCTCACAGCGTGCTCAAGATGCTATTAGCAAATCAATACTGGCCAATGGACGGTACTGCCACAAACCATCTGCCTGCACTGCAGCAGTCTGAGCAGAAAATGCACCTTTTTTTACATCAGGGTTTAAGAGATAGGTTTGCACTGTACAGTACAGTGACTAAGCTAAAACCGTATCAACATGCATTAGTTTGCATATTCAAAATGTATGCATGTGTACACTTTTTGCTCCAAAATAGCAAATCCCTGCTTTATCCAAGGCTTTTCCTCCCAAATGGGAAGTGCATGTTGTGCTTTTCCCTTTGAGCGGCAATCTCTGCTGGCCATATTGAGGCTTCTGAAAAGAGACGTGATTCAGGATGCAGTCCTTTTGTATCCTTTGGCTATTTAAGCTTCTGGTGGCCAGGAGCACCTTTACTGAATGCAGATACTGAAGTTATTAAAGGCACAAATACGCCCAGGAGAGCGTGTCAAGATGCTCACAATGCCCCGCTACAAACAACCTGCCCATGCATCCTCAAAAGAAAGTGCTGAAGTGCACGATTGTATTTGAATGCTTACTCGGAAATAAATGTTCCGACCTTGAGCAGTTTTCTACTACAGCACGTACTGCGGTTGGTGCGAGAATATTTCAAATGGGCTGTCTGTGCATATCTATCACTGCATGTGTTTTAGCAATGCAGTTTAAATGAAGCCCCTCACAGCCTGTCAGGAAGGGATCATCTATCTGTGATGCAAGGACAACGGGGACAACTGCCATTGTTTGAGATGATTTATGGAGCCATTATAGTGTTGTTTTAGCTCTCTGTTGAACAGAAAATGAAAGCTGCAACGGCAAAATGGCAATTTCTCCCCCTCAATGGCTACCGCACGTCCACATAATGGAACTTATTCAGAGTTGCTCAAACCATACAGCTGCTCATTAGCAGCAGTGCGGTTTGAATGGGCAAAGTCAGTCTTTGTGGATGGATCTCTTACTTGCGACGAGACACTCGTCCTCCAGTTGCCTGAAGAACACAGTGACTTTGTCCAAGTCCAACAGGGCCGCCTTGGTGTCTTCCAGCATGGTGCGCTCCTCTTTCTGCCGGGCAGAGAAAAAGAAAGCTCAGAATTGGAAGAGTAGGAGAGGTTTGAGAGTAAGAAGCAGGAGGAGAGGTTTGAGAGTAAGAAGCAGGAGGAGAGGACAGCTGCATTGCTGGAAAAAACATTAAAACCTAGGACACTCCAAAAGACCTGGTTATATCCTTTATGTAAAACATGGTTGTAGATATATGAATACTTTTATAAATATTAAGATCATATGGAGAAACTCATTGCCAACTTTGTGTACAATGATGAAACGTTATGGTAAATCATGTGTAAATCACTAAATATGTTAAAAAGTGTGTGAATGATAATGATGATAGGACTGCAAACAAGGCTTCCTTGCCCTTATTTATCTTTACAAAATGATTTAATTATTTCTATCTGTATGGTTGTACTATCTTGTGAAGATGGCTTGAAAGAAGAACCCAAGATTGTTCACAAAAGAAAAAACCCAGGACACGTCACAAGAGTGGATACAGCCACTGCATCTTTGCTTAAAAATGCATCAAGTAAGACTAATTCTGAAACGGAATGGCATCCACCTTAGCTACATCCATTTCTTGTGAAATAAAAACAGCACATCTGTCCTCACCAGGTGCGGTGCTAGTGTGGACTGGAAGTGCAGCAGCACGCCGATGACAGATATCTGCTCCAGCCACTTGCGGCTGGTCTCCTTTCCATCTTCCTGGTACTCGCCGGCGTTGTTAAACCGCGACCGCAGCGCCGCCAGCAGCTGCTCCGCCAGCGTGCACAGAGCGCCCGTCGCCGCCTGGCAGAAGATCACGTCCCGTCGCAGCTGCAGAGACGTATCTGGGGTGGAGGGAGAGAGTGAGTGTCAGACGGAGGGGGGACAAAGGGGGAGATCAGTGGGAATAAGAAGGTGAGGCCTCCCACTGTAACCTTCCTCATTACTCCTGGAGGTGATCCAATACATACTTTATTCCATTGGACTGAATCCCCTGAGAGGATACCTCCCACTAACTAGCACCATATGCCACTGTGCACGGTTCAAAGGGACTGCAGCATCATGGGCTTTGACACCAACCTGATCCGTGTACAAACACACAACCACTGGCCTCCACCTGGACATGTGCCCAATCAGGAGAATAAAACGCTGTTAACTTAAACCTTTAGAAACATACTGGAGACTAGGTCTGCATAATAAATCCAATTTCATCCATGTAATATATATATATATATATATATATATACACAATTGTATATGGACTGATGAAATATCTAATCACTAAGTGGAATACTTGGTAAAGGCAAAATATGTGAAACTATTCAGAGTATTTTCACATATTTTGCATTAAGTGATTGTGTGCTGCAGAAAAGATATTCCTAAGACTCAATAAAAAATACCTGTTTGGTGCAAATCCTCTTAAAACATGTGATGATCATTTTATAGTCATTTTAGGTTAAATATGTATTCAACAATTATAATTTCCCCCTAATATTCCAAATCATATCGCAATTGAAATAATATAAATAAAAACACCAGGCGGCATTTCATTCATGATTAAGTTGTATCTATGAAGTTTACATTATTTTTTTAATTACATTTACTCAGAAACAGAATTAAAAGTATTTTTGACAGTTCTAATACATATTTCTGTTATCACTTAATACCCTTAGAAGATGGTTTTGAGGACCTGCAGATGTCCTAATGTAGAACTGGCTGCATTTGTGCATGATCTCATTTGCAAAGTGCTCTAAACTGTTGGAATCACTTAAAATACTCCAGTTATGAGACGCTTCCTGCTGCTGTGAACTTCAAGTTCTGATCAGTGATTGCACAGCCCAAAGAGTTCTTTAGAAAATTAGAGACGGGTTTATTCTAGTTTGATTATTCTCCTGCACTTTGAATATGAACTGGTTTGTGTTGAACGCTTACGTGTTACGCTACCTGTGCATTTCAGAAGAGCCAGGAGAAGCTGGTTCTTCCCATCTGTGGAGGCAGAAGGAAATCAAGATGCTTGAAACTGTTACACATATTTCTTTAAATATCCGTTTGTGTTTGTACATGTGTTCCACTTACCATCCACAAATCTCTGCAGGCTCTCCACCAGAGTTTTAATGGAGCTAGGCAGGTTCCAAGGGTCCTCCTGGATGTTCTTGTGGATGATGTAACGACAACGCACTGTCCAATCCTCTGTTTGTCTAAACTCTGGTCAAATAAAATTCAGGAATGTGTCAGTGTGACTTTTTTTGCCAAAAACCATTGGTTAATACTGAAAACACATTTAAAAATTCATTGAAACCACCCAAAACACACATACATGTCTCAAAATGAGCTTGTTCCACCATAACACTGATTCTCACTAAGAAAGCAAACATTGATGCTCACACTGACCAAAATAATAAATCATTAGGATTTCATTAATGATTGAAGGAGCCCTATTATGCTAATTCTTCTCACAGTGCTGCAGCGCCTCTTTTCACGTGTGTGGGAGAAGTTTAATGGATTTTTCACGAAAATGTCATCAAGAATAGAAACACTCCTTTTCACTTTATTGATTGCACTAACGTTTATGTAACATAGATGAGACTACAAACTGCTTCAGTATCCTTTATTTTGTTATGATTTAATTTATATTAATTTACTTTAATAATAAATTATGTTTTTTCTAGAGTAAATGGGGTTACTGCAGAAATGGGAAGCATTCAGCACAGTGTTATTCATTGTTTTCAAAATGTGTGTTTTACGTGTGGTAAAGATCAAAGGAAGAGTACTTTCGAGGATTTCGTAAAAAAGTGTTAATTGAATGCATTTTATGTGAAAACAATGACAAATAAGTCGCAATTTGGTCCACACTGACAGGCTGAGTGCAGAGTTTTGACTTCGGCTTCAACCAATGCATGTTAGCAATGGAAAAAAGCTGTTATTGTAGCATGACGACACACTTTCTCACCTTTTTAGCAGTAAACACACAGACAAAGTCATGCTCACACACAGACAGGAATAGGTACCTGGTTGGCTGTGGTCGGAGTAAAAGTGCTTGGTCTCGTCACAGGCCTTGGTCATGACGGGTCCTTTGAGGAGGCTGTTGATGGAGTCAACCTGTGGGAAGAGAAAAAAAACACACAGAAAGAATCAGGTTATCGTCTCTCATATTCTAGACATCTTTTTGTGATTTTCTTTTCCAGTTTCTGTCAAGGGTCTTCCAGCATTTAGAAAGACTTCTGTTTACACCGCCCCCCCCCCCCCCCCTTTACATTTGGAAAGAACTAGGGCAGTGAGAGCTTGCCACGGGGCAGCCAAAATACCTTAGATGCTGGTAAGACAAAAAGATGGATGGAAATCTTAAACTGAGTCCACAAATCAGTGTGTGTGAGGGGAAAAAGCAAATCATAAGAAAAGGGAAATTAAAAAAAAGGAGGTCAAGTAAAAGATGGCAGAGATATCCAGGATCCTGACCAGAGTACAGAGAGTTAACTGAGCCCAGATGTTCACTGATTATTACTATCACAATCATCTGTTTCAAAAGCTTTAATTCAAACTGTAGTAGGGGGGGTATAATGCCGATGTAGCTGATATGTCGCTATCGTATTTCTGAGTTTAAAGTTAGGTTAACTTAGCGTCTTCCAAGGTGTAGTTTGGGAAGATAGTTAGTTATATTTTTTGGACGCTACAAGCTTCCAGAAATAAATGTGTCAGTTACTCTAAACTGAACCTCTGGACTAACCTGGTTGAAAAGGTGCTCGAGGCAGCCGTGCAGCTTGTCCTGTTTGTCCGAGGGAATCCTCATGTCACATGGCAGCTCGTCCCCTAGCAGCCAAACACCAACAAACACCAAACAAAAAACGTTAGGAGAAAACACACATTTGGATGCTGGCGTTTTTATTTGACCATCTGCACTTATTAAACACGTTTCTATCCATCTGTTTTAATGTAAATTCTGGTGAATCAGATTAAAGAGGCTAAGGGATAATAAATAATTTCAGCAGAATGTTTCATTGTGGAGAATCTAAGACATAATGCCTGTGAAAACGACGTGATAAACAGCAGTGGACACATACTTGGCTCAGAGAAGAAATATGTGGCTGTTGGGTTACGAAATGTTGGGGCTATAATATCTGACCACATAAAATATCTGCAGTATTTCTCTTTTGAAAGCATGACTTATTATTACAAGTCAAAGGAGAAATCACAAGTTGGTGACATATGAATAATTCTTATGCAAACATCCTTTATTTCTTGACTTTGTTTGACACTCACGAGGATGTTGTTTATGTTGAATTCACTTTACAGTGTTTGGAAAGTGACACATTTTATCTCGGTCAAATATTCGAATGAGAGGTTTCGTACGGTGGCCAAGCCATGGAAACGCGTTTCAACGGCCTAAAACACTTACATTAGGAGAAAGGCGCTGCTTGTTCAAAAACGATGCAAATACAAAAACTAAAATGTGCCAAAACACATGCAAATGAAGAAACATCTTCACCAACTTGACAACGCATGTGCGAGTTAACTAAAAACGCTGCATGGACAAAACGCTGCTGATACAACACGCTGCATGAAGCTCAAAACACAACAGAACGGGGACACTAAAGAGTGATGCACACAGCTGGGACTGGAGCGCTTGTTGACGTTCTGGAATGATAAAGCTGGCCAATTGTCACTGAGGTAGTCTGTTTCATAATTGTAAGTGTTTTGTCAGTATATTTGAAATGCCTAGGTTAGCTATGTTAGTTAGCTAGCTTACAGCAGATCTGCAATTGTATCGTAAGGAAGCATGCGGTTACATACATTTTTTGGTATGTTTTCAGACGCAGTGACAGTTGGCCAACTTTATAATCCCAGTACTTCAACAAGTGCTCTGGTCCGAGCTGTGTGCATCACTTTTTACTGTCTCGGTTTCCTTTGTGTTTTCAGCTTCTTGCCTCATTTTTTATATTTTCAGTGTTTTGTCTATGCAGCTCTTTTTGTACAAGCTGCGCATGTTAAGTCAAGTTGGTGTAGATGTTTCTCCATTTGCATTTATTTTAGCACGTCTTTGTATTTGCATCGTTTTTGAAAGTGCACTGCATTTTTTCTTATGCAAGGCTGTTCTAATGCATTTCCCCCTGTTGGCCACGGTTGTGTTGCGAGTGAAAGCGTAAAAAACCTGACTTATGAATGGATAAAAAAAGTTTGATTATGTGTTTTTCCCCTTACCTGATCCCATCTCATCACTCCCCAAGTAGGAGCTGTTACTGCGCACACTGGTGTAGGACAGGACTGAGTCTCTGTTGCTGTTGCATTCACTGTCAAAAAAAAAAGCATACAGACACACATACACAGTTAAAACCCATAATAAAGCAAAAGGCTTCATTCCGTTCTTAAACCGCAGAGAGGGTTTGGAGAGCTGCGTCTTGTAATTACGCTGCCAAGTAATCCTTCTGATAGTAAATGCATTTTTCTGATTTACAGTATGCGAGACCAAAGATAATTAAACGTTTCACACAGAAACAACCGCCACTGCTTTACAGAGAGAGGCATTCAGTGAATGGCATTACATTTGACAGATAATTAGCGTATACATAAGACTAGAAGCACCCTTATATACAAACATATGTATTACCTTATACTAGCGTATGCAGAAAAAGGTCTGTTTTGTCAAAATAATAAAGCCTGGTATTTATAGTCTTACATGATTGAACATGATTACCGGGAGCATGTGGAAGATTTATGCGGCTCAAATTATACGTCGCTTCAAGTGAGCGCGCTCGCGATCGCCTCAGAGGATCTCCGGATGATTCACAAGCAGAATTATCATGACAAATGTCCTAAGAGTGGCTACCAGCTACAGAAACACTGGCTTTGTGTTCGTTTGCTAATACCCTGCTTGGCTGGAGGATATAGTGGGGGATGCATGGAGCGGGATATCACCTGCCTGGTTATTTTGCGGTCCCTAATTTGTGTGTGAGTGTGGTGGTAAAAGGGGATTGGCTAGCTCAGAGCTGCTACAATTATGGGAAAGAGTTAATATAACCATGTTTTAGTAGTTTGGCTTGGATTCTCAGCTGGCTTTTATTCACACACCCTACAAACCAACTGTGTTAGTAGTCATGCGTGTGTGTATGCACCAAGTTTTTTTTCTTTCAAATTCACTCTGTCTAATCATACTTCAAGCCTGCCTCCCCTTTGTTTTTCTTTTTCTTTCTTGCCTAATTGACACTCAATTCCCTTCCTCCATATGTGTCCTGCATTATTCCCCTTCTGCATGGGTAGTTGTGCTTTCCGGCTTAATTCAGAGACCTACACACTCTCTCACACACACAAAAGGTAGTTTCTAAATTTAACCACACACCTCCTGCCAAAAGTGTGAGCACCGCTGTGACAATTATTCTGCTCGTAGTAGCCACACACACACACACACACACACACACACACACACACACACACACACACACACACACACACACACACACACACACACACACACACACACACACACACACACACACACACACACACACACACACACACACACACACACACACACACACACACACACACACACACACACACACACACACACACACACACACACACACACACACACACACACACACACACACACACACACACACACACACACACACACACACACACACACACACCACACACACACACACACACACACACACACACACACACACACACACACACACACACACACACACACACACACACACACACACACACACAGGAAATCTGTAAAATGATAACCCACAAAATGATAGTTTGTCACCCCTTGTTACCTTGAATTCTAGGAAGAAGGTTTGTTTTTGTCGCAAGCCTCCACGTTGAACAATCAAAATTTGAGAAAAGGTTTAATACATTTATTAAAAAAATCTATATACAATCTCTCAGACGACTTGTGAAGTCTCATTTATGCAATCAAATGATCACTGCCCTGCAAACATGAATTTTCACAAAAATCTTAAAGAAGACCTATTTTGCTCATATTCATGATTCAAATGTGTATTATGAGCCTCAACTATGACATGTCTCCATGCTTTAATGTTCAAAAAGGTCTTTATTTTCTCTTTTCTCTCTGTGCTGCTGCAACACTTATCACCCTCCCAAACCAGAGCCCAATCTGCTCTGATTGGTTAGCTGGCTGGCTTTGTTCTGATTGGTCAACTGTTTAGAGATGTGCGGCGCTTAGCAAATCATGTACAATGTGTTGGAGCGCAAGCCAATAGAAGCTCGAGTATTATATATTGATGTCCCTATGAGTCGAATGGAAGCGTTCAGGACAAGTGTTAAACAGTAAGTAAGTAAGTAGTGAGCATACAACTGGATACATGAGATGCAGGTTATACTGCAGGAGCTGTTTGAGAGTTTGAAAGACATTTTCTTCAAGACTTCAAGGTAAAATGGGGGTGATTTAATCATAAACAAAAAAGTGTTTTGTGGCTGATAGTCTTTTAAGCTGGTTTAAGATTCATATAAAGTGTAATATCTTGAGTGAGCTGGTGTGATTTAGGAAGCTGAGTCAAAAGAACGTCTGCACTGGATTGATTATGAGGGTGTTCTGGTTTAAGGAAACAGACGAGATGAATATAAACTACTTAAAATGTTAAGCAACGAAGGACGATCAATCACAAGTTGACACTGGAGATGCATTCTGATGCCGGGGGGGGTGTGTGTTGTGTTTCAGCTGGATCTGAATACTCTGTCATGTCTGAATACAAGACAAAAGGTCCTAACGGGGTCACACGCGGACTCGGGAGCCAAAGATTTATAACAGACACAATGTACCAGAGTTTAGAACAAGCACTACTTATTACAACTTCTTCAAACATTCTTCTCTGCTTAATTCCTTCTGTATTTCCTTCTCTTTGACCCCGTGTCTGCACGTGTGTGTCTTTCCTGTCCTTGTTCTCACATTATGTTCCTTACAAAACTGTTCTTAGACCTCCGACTGTTGGACTGTCACCACCTCAGGCTTTAATGTCTAATTGTCTCACCACCCACCTCTGAAACACAGCAGCAATTTCCATGAAAAGTTCCCAAGCGGGATGAATCATCTGCGATCACAGTGCAGCCTCATACTGCAACTTTTTTCCCCCTCACTTGTCTTAAAAACACCTACCAGTGTGTGTGTGTGTGTGTGTGTGTGTGTGTGTGTGTGTGTGTGTGTGTGTGTGTGTGTGTGTGTGTGTGTGTGTGTGTGTGTGTGTGTGTGTGTGTGTGTGTGTGTGTGTGTGTGTGTGTGTGTGTGTGTGTGTGTGTGTGTGTGTGTGTGTGTGTGTGTGTGTGTGTGTGTGTGTGTGTGTGTGTGTGTGTGCGCGTGTGCAACAGCCTACATTTCCCTTTACATTTTATTGCGATGAGGTAGTCACGTTTCACATGGCGTGGCCGGGCCTTAATGACAGAGTGTTTGAGGAGGCCGCGCCCCAAACATTTGGCTCTATTATACACCAGCCCACCGCACCAACAACCAATAACTACATCTTAGTGGGTGGTGGAGGGTGGGGCTGAGTGGAGATCTGCCCAGTGAACAGTGCACACACACACGCTCTCTCTCTCACACACACGCGGGAACATCTGAATGAACTCAGAACAAGTAAATGACATAACCAGATCTGACCAAAACATTTTGAAGTCATTTTTAGCCCTGGATCTCGGTTAAAAATGCCAACATCTGGAATGACTTTTAGCCTCCAAAAAGGGGAGGCAATGGGCATAATGAGTGTTGTTCTGGCTCTATACAGTTCACAGTCAAAAATTCAGGTGTGACAAAAGTGTTTTGAAAGAGGACCTGCTTTTTCAGGTTCATATTTGTACGTTGTGTCTCTACTGTGACATGTCTCCATGCTTCAATGTTCAAAAAGCTCTTTATTTTCTCATACTGCCTGTGCTGCAGCACCTCTTTTCACCCTCTGTCTGAAACCAGAGCCTAGTCTGCTCTGGTTGGTTAGCTGGCCGGCTTAGAGATGTCCCGCCCCTTAGGCTTTTACATATGATGTGTTGGAACGCTAGCCAATAGAAGAGTATAGGTCACAAAGTGATGTCACTATGTTACGGAAGTAAACAAAGGAGTCCAATGAGGCGTTTCAGGCAGGAAACTGCAGAAACTCCCTCTTGAGGGAACTGTGGGAGTTTAGCCTTTGCAGACTATTGACATGCACCAGACTTATGTAACACACTACAAGAAAGGGAAAACCAAAAAAAGCGTAATAAGGCCTCTTTAAACGCTTCTTGGAGGTTGTTCATAATACTATCAGAGAAGGTCTAAGTTCTACTATATTGATTTGACCTGTGTCTCCTTTTACTTGGGAAATATGGATGCAGAATCACCAAAAGATGACATAATCTGTTACAAATCTTGATGATAGTGAGTAAAAGTACAATGCAAGGTGATGGCTCTGTAAGGAACCTCCCACTATAAACCAATGAGTAGTCATAATTAAAAACATTCATGGTATGACGTTCAGTCTAAGACGGAAAATGACAAAGGTGATGCCTTCTGGAAACATTGGGTGATAACTTGTCTTGCACCTGATATACTATGACTAAGGAAAACAATGATTGCTACATTTATAATCTTTGGTGGACGACTCGTACCCCTTTAGTTATTTTTTACGTTTTATTGTTTCTTTCTTGTTTTTTATACCTCTCTCTCTCTCCCTGTTCTGTTAAGGTATATATAGATTTCCCCCCTAAAATAAACACTAAACATAATGTCTACATTATAATGAATTGTTAAGGTACTTTAGTCTCAGTTTGAAGACAACCAAATGTATTTTAATACCTGGAGAACTCATAACCATGTTCAATTTAGTACCAACTTTTCAAAGTTGGTCTGATGTCTTTGCGCCGGTCTTTAACCATTACCTGTAGGAGTCCCTGTAGCTCATGGTGTCATGACCCGAGTCCTCCTGGTCCTCCTCATTCACCTTGAAGCAGACCCTCTTGATGCCGCCCTGCTCCACTTTGTCCTGATCACAGCCGTCCTCACAGGGGGCCAGAGACGGGGGCTGACTGGGCTCGTAGACCGGAGGCTCCCCACCCTCCCCTTGGAGTTGCGTGGGCTCCGTGATAGACGACAAGAGGCTAAAAGGAGACAAAAACAAAGGGTGAAAATTCAAATGAGATATGAAAACACATTTAACCAAACATGGCTGAAGCTTATGTAACACATTTTTAGCATGTGTGTTTTTAAAGTATATTTTTGTAGTTTTAAAAGTGTTGATAGCTTCAGCTATATAAAGTGTACTAAATGTAATAATATAAAGACATTATATTATACACTCTGCGCAGAGGCCTTCACAATCAAACATACACAAACATTCACACACATTGTCACACCCCTTCCTCGGCACAGACACACAATATGTGTCTCTTTCTCTTGATGTTATCCTGGCCTCACTCCCTGTTCCTGTACTGGGCCCGGCCCATAAATATTTTGGGCCTGAAGAATGTTCCTTTTGTAAACCCTGGGCTTTAAACAAGGCAAAGGGCAGACAGACAAAGAGAGACTGACGGACAGCCTCGGGAGGCTGCTGCGGGGAAAACAGCTCGGAGCTTTTTTATTTAGAAATCTCTAAATGTCACCGTGAAGGCTATGAAAATAGTCTACTCTCACATAAACACCAGGGGAATGCTGATATTTTGTAACCGCACCAACTGTTAGCGCTGAAGATATTTTCTGAATGGATATGAGTAAACACTTTTCTTCTAATTTGATGGATGACACTTTTCATGGGGGTGGAGATAAAAGATTTATAAGGAATGGCAAAACATTTATAAAGTGATAACAGAGTGGTGCAGGAATGAGTCCTAAACCCCGATATTAGTGAGTATTCTCAAAGTCAATGGTTTTTTGAATGTGTTTTTGGTAACATTTAGGTTCAAATGATTCAGTTTCACTATATGAACTGTAGCACTTACACATCTATCTGGGCCACATACTGCCTCATCTCCCGCACAGCGACGTCCAGGCGGCTGTATAGGTGAATGTATGCATCCTGGGTCTCTGTATCTTCCTGTTTGAGCAGGAAGCTCAACCCGCCTTCACTGTGAATGCTCCGCCGACTGTCATTCAACCCCTCGCCTCCATCCATGCTCACATCCCCACTGCCATCCAACTCGTCCTCTTCCAGGCCGGAACAGTTCCAGGAAGGAGCGCCCATGCTTGTCACACAGTGCTGGATGTGGGACATGGGGTTGAGTTGAGCTACAGGACAGAGAGGAGAGGAGACGATAAACATGTTTGCAGTGGCTGAAAGGAAACATCTCTGAACATTATATCTACCCCAGATGTTCAAAAACCCTATGAAGTTACGCTCCTGCCTGTTCTTCATTTAGAGTCGATGAAAAACAACTTCTTAAAAGGCGCTTATGCAACTGATACGCACAGCCAGAGCAGGATGCTAAACTGTTGACTTGGGTTGGAAGCCAAACTAAGCTGCAATAACCTGAGACATCACAAAACTGTAGACAGATTAAGTTCTGACTATGAAACCAGGGTGTGTGCTATGAGTACACAGCAAGCATTACAATTGAATATATGTATAGCCTTTTTTTTTTAAATGTTATTAACAATCCACAAATTCCTTTAAATTCAAGGGTATGGTGCTGGAGAAGGATGTTTTGTATCAGGTAGTTAGGTAATAATCCTCATTGATTCATTCTTTTGCTGATAATTGCTACAGTCACTAGACAAAAACATTGTCTACGTTGCTGTTTGAACACACAGAGCACACACTGAAAAGCACCACAGAAGAAGATCTTGTCGGTACAACTGCCAGGCAGATGTCTGACTTACAGCTGATGCTGAGAGGACAGACGAGGATCCTGGAACAGGGACAGCAATGCTAACTCTTAATTGAAAACAAGCTGCATTTTGACAGCCATATAGACAGAAGACAGGATTTCCGTGCCTATGGATAAAGTATTTCTACTAGTTTAATCCTCTTCTTATAATTATTTTGGCGACATCACATTCAATTTGAAATCTTTCTCTCCCCTTTGACCTCTTGCAGCAGTAGCATTGACAAACATTCCTACGCCGCCTCAAGGCAGCGTTTTCACTGACATCATTCACTTCTCATGTCAATAACATGGGTATGGCCTGGGGCTAATGGAGTCTTAATGGCAAAGCACTTATCTAATTTACTAAGGGGGAAATCCTTGTTTAGACCTTATAGCTACTTTGGGAGGGCCGGGGTCAACATTGCAGCGGGATTTAAATGGTCGTGTAGGGTAATTAGTCAGAATGATCACTGAGATGGTGTTAAGTTGGTCAAAGGGGATGGTTCTCTTCAAAGCTTAGTGGAGGATATGCGACAGAGAGCTCAAACATTATTGGATGATGGTGTGTCATCTACCTTGGTCAGGATCCAGGCCATATATGGAGTTCTTGCGCCCAAAGCGGATGCTGAAAGTCCTGCCAGCGGAGGTAGTGCTCTTGGGGTTGGACACCTGCATGAAGTTGACTTGGCAGTTGGTGGGAACAAAGTCCATGCAGCCCAGTGGGTGAGGGCGCACCCCCGCCTGCCTGAAGGAGGGCCACGCCTTGTTTCTCAGCTCCAGGGCAAACTGTGTAAGAAAAGAGGAGACAGAATTTAGCTAAGAGAAAACATGACAGACAGCTCTAATGTTTGCACTGTGGGACTATAATAAGATCATTCCCACTTTCACCACAATTGTTAACAGAGTGGAAAATATGACATGGAGACATAATGGTAGACTAATTAATGTAATAGTTTATTAAAGAAGAGAGTTCATGTCAAAATTATGTTTAAGGACAAGGGAGATGTCCAACTTTTTTCATCACATTTCATATTAGGTGTCAGGTTTTACAAGTGTAAATAGATGAGCTGTATTTCGCAATAAAGCTACATTTGATGATCAGGGATGCAAACTCATCAGGAAGGAAAAAGGTGACAATGATCGTTGATTGTTTAAAGTTGATTGTTTAAAGTTAATATGTGGAAGTAGAGGACATTTTTGTATGTAGCATTTTAATTTGACAGTGTCTGTGTGTTGAAGACAGTGTATACGTGTTTTTCATTACCTGCTTATAGCTGTCTATACGCCGCCGGATGCTCTCCAGCTTGGTGTCGCAGATTTGTCTGAACTCGTACTGAGGCATGGTAACGACTCGGTCACTCTGGGAGATGAGCTGGCTGCAGTTACGAACAAAGAGGCTGTCATCGCCTGAAAACGCCTCCAGGATCTGTAGAGACAAGAGAAAAGTTGGTAAGGATGGAACACTCTCCTACAATAAAAGTTTCAAAACTTTAATCGATCACAATCAGTAAAAATAGCATTCTGAGCAGCAGAAATTGTGTTTCCCATCAATCTAAAACATTCAGTTTTCCAATACTAACAACCGAAAACTAGCAGTGAGGCCAAAAAAAAACTTTTGTTTCTTTTAGTTCCTGTCATAATAGTGCAAATTGGACAAACACCAGTGATTCCAAAACTGGTGAACGGCCAAGTTGGGATCTTTTATGATACATGAGCTGTGATGTTTTAGACGCTGAGAACATGGAAGCAATTTGAACAACTGTTATTCAATTTAAAGTCTCATTAAACTGTAGAAAATGTGAAAAAATACAACTTCTATCTTTGACTATACAAGGGGTGTAACGTTTCAGCTAAAAGCTCACCTAGACTACTCTTACTGTGTTAGAATGAAGATAAAACATCACATAAGCTGATTGCTAGTGTTTAACCAAAGACAATGGTGAATTATGTCCTTAGAGTCTGCTACAATGCTACATTTAGCTACACATTAATGGCTTATACCTCTTTTGTGCCTTTTCTGCTCTCTGATTCTAGCTTAACATAATCACACTTTAACTAATTCTACAACAACTACCTTAGCAGTGAGGCTAAAGCAGCCTTTGGGCTCCACCATCTTCTCCAGGACGTGGCACTTGATGCCTGCGGTGCTGACGTATTCGTAGACCACGCCGTGCTCCAGGTGGACGTTATCTACCGTCAAACTGACCATAGGAAGGTCATCGGAGAGGGAAAGTCTGCCCAGCTGGTGGTCTGTGGAGCACAAATGTCAATATGTCATTATCACAATTCTTGATATTTTTATCAAACGCATCGATATTGCGACTTTATTGTAGGGTTGATTATCTTTCACGAAACAACACAATAGGATTTCTGATCAAATAATCATCAGTTATTTTAATGCAACGACTAAATGGGTAAATGCAAATAATATAGCAGCTAGAATATTCACTTAAGTTCTGAAAATACTATTTTTTTTATTGTAATGAAGCATTGGAAAACTTTTTTTAAAAATAAAGGTTTATCCAGATGTAGAGTCGTGTCCTAGAATGTTATTCACCCATGCGGGAAACAAAGCTTGTATTACAAACCCTCTGAAGCTTACAAAAGACTAATAATATTATTATAAATCCATTTAGTAATGGCACATGTTAAGGCATGTCTGTCAAGTCCATTTACCCTACCAGCACTGGAAGAAAGAATTGCTCACTTATTACATATACACTGACTCAACGTTGGTCCTCATCTGTAACTACTTCCCATATATAGCATGTGTAATTTTCAAATTGAGGATTTTCCATATGCAGGGTAAAATTACCCACTGCGGCCTGGAGCCACTTTTGCTGTAACAGTGACTACTACTAAATTCAGAGGTCTTGTGAGAATAACAAATTAGGAGAAACATAATATTATGATGTAATGTTTTTGGCAGCGACTGATTTCCAACCATCCAACCTGTAATCGATCTACACAGACACAAAGGCAGCTACAGTTTATATTCAAAGGGACAGTTTGCCCCCGAAAATACATATGTTTTCTTTTACATTTAGTGATTTTGACCAATCTAGATCAAGGGTTAAAGATACTGCATGTCTGCCTTCCTTTGACGATATTGTAGTGAAAAATATATATGTCCTGACTTTGGGACATTTTCAGATGATGCAATTTAACACATTTTTTCACCTGTTCCATTTGTGCCGTTCTCCTCCTCGTGGTCGGAGCCGTTCTCCACTGGGTAAGGACTGAAAGGACTCTCCTCCTTCTCACCTGTGCCTCCTTCTCTTTGGAGCTCTTCCACATCCTCAAATGCATGATACACCCACTGACACTGGGGGAAACATTAGGTATAATTATAATGTGCAAAAATTCATTATTGGAAATCAAATAAGGACGTAATCGAGGAATAAGTACGCGGAAAGAAAAAAAAGAGCAAAATAATGGATATTTAGCTATGCTTATGTATCTGTAAGTTTACTTTGTACACACACTTTTGAAGGGAACAATCTTAGGACATTGACACTTTACACCTGACAAGGAAATCAGGGCTGATAACGCCGCCTAAACCCGGCAGTGCAGTCAGCCACATCGACAACATCCTTGTAATTTATCCTGCTGTTAAATGGACCGGCAAACATTAACTGGAAGTTCAAAACAGGGGCTGCTCAGCTGAGACTGTTCATTGGGGTTTGCCAAAAGAGTAGGCCAGACTAAATAAACCTAAACAAAACAATGTGATTTAAACAGAAAGCAGGACATCCTACTCGGGGAAATACTGCCTGGAGTCTTGGACTGCTGCTGTAGGAAACCACACAAAGCTTTGCAGTTTAAAAGTTGGCAATGTATGGGGTTTAAACACTAGTATCCACTAAAAATAAATCTCTTTAAAAGATAATTCCGCCAATAACAATCTTGGCAGCAGGAATGGGTGAAGATTCAGTGGAAATTAGTTGTTCATTGGTTGCCCTGGGCTACTTCTTCTCTCCGGCAGGATTGCATCTACAAGTGAAAAATGTTCAACTCTCACTTATTGGCCTACAGCGACAAAGTGTCAGCCAGTAATTTATGTTTGGGATCACAGGGCCACCCACTGTCGGAGCCAAGATGAAATGACAAAGAATGTCGCAAAACCCCAGACGACAAGATTTTAAAGAGCAAGTGTGTAGTGAGGTCAGTGAAATTGTTAAAGTTATGAATACATTTAGATTATTTTCGAAGTTGCTTTGGGTATTTGTAGTTGTCACGCTAATGCTGCTTTATGTAGTGTCTCAGAGCAGGAATGTCTGGGTCAATGGGGTTCTTCGGTCTCTTAGCTCGTCAAATGTGAATTTAGTGAGCTGTCGCACATTGTTGAATGGCATTCCAAACTGTAAGTGATCAACTACTTTGTGGAATTACTTAAATAAAGCACTTAGGGATTACCCCGGTACATACGGAGTCATAACAACACACACAAGGACTGTAAAAGCTCAAGTTAAATCACCTTTTCTATAATTGTTCTCAATAAATAAACAGTTAAGAAAAAATGTGTGTGTTTTTCACGTGTCCCCTCACCGCTTGGGGAGGCTCCTGGTGAGTGTGCTGCGCGCTGAAGTGCTCCAGGACCTCTTGGTAGTCGCTGTGGTTCATGTTGTTGCCGTTGACTTTCTGGATGACCTGTCCAGGCTGAAGCCCCGCCCCCGCCGCTTCCCAGCCTGCAGCGTGTTTAAAGAGTCAAAGTCAAATCAGTGAAACTGTACACAACAGGTTCTGAAAACATGTAATTTACGCCGGGAAGGAGTTCAAAGTGTTGTTTCACCCATAAAAATCTACAAGTTAACTTTTTCTTGTGTTTTCGACTCAATTCCCTTATGTGTGTACACAACCTCGCCCACTGTGTTTTTACAGGAAAATAGAAAATTACTCAGTTCGATGCTGTTACACACCGTCACAAGCTAATAATAGCATTGCAGCCGGGAAGTCCAATCAACACCTCAAATCATCTTCCTCTCCGGGCCTAAAAATACCAGCGCTGGCATCACTTCCCACCCAGGGTGCCAGCAATTACCTAACTCTGCCATTACCTGAGCCACGCATGGATATCACACAGGGACTGATTGAGGAAAATAAAAATAAAAGGACACAACTGGAGAATATCAGATGGAAAAACTTGTCTTGTACACCAGCAGAGCCATGAGTGATACAAGAACTTAGGAAAGAGAAGGGAATGGGGGGAAAGTGAGAGGGGGAGTAAGTGGAGGAGTCCCCCTGCCGTAATAAAGTAAAACCAGCCAGATCACATTCCTGCTTTGCACCAACTGGTGGCTCCTCTCCTCGCTGTTTTCTTTGCACGTTTCCTCTCCTGCTTCTGTCTGGTTAACACATTTGGTTTCATCAAATTGCCGTAAATCACTCTGTTTCGAGTCAGTCTAGTTGCTTACAACATCTGGTTATGAGGTTGTAAGGACAGAGCAGGAGGAATGGTAAGAGAGAACAAAAGTGAAGCGGTGCTTTTCAGTTACCTATGCCTCTCTGATCACAGGGCAATGTGTGTGTGTGCGTTTTAAAAGTAGAGTTTAGTCTATTAGGGGTGTGCACCCTGTCAGCAAGCCGTCTGGCTGACAGGTGGCCATAAAAACCTAATAGAGGCTCACTAAAAGCAGAAAGTAACAGGTGGTTGGAGGCTAGAGTTACCTCATCTTTCCCTCCAATTCACTCAGAATTATTTGTCTTCCTGACACAGTGAACACTTTCAAAGCGTCTGCCGACACAGGTCCTGCAATAACAAGCTCAAAGTCCCGTAAAGCTGTCAACAGATCTGCAGGTCGTAACCCAAATATATGTCTAAGTGAATTCAAGAAATATTATTTTAATTATATTTCGCTGGGGGCTGTGAACTGTTGAATGAGTTAAGAGATCACTTTCCGTTACACATCCTGTTATATGAAATAACTATATTATATGCTCTCTTGTGACTTCCAAGGTCTAATGTTACTTTTTTCTAAATGTTTTGGTATGAGAGCTTATTAAAGAAGGAACACAACTCATTATAATGAGGATTCAATTGGGTGATAAAAAAGTATTAAAGTGTGGGATCATGGGAGTTTATTACGGCAGTAAGCTTCTCCAAATTATTTACTGAGGTCTCTTTCTCAACAAAACAAGATTAAAACCAAAATAAACGATTAAAAAAACAATCTTGATTAATCCTTAAAATTTGATGAGGATCTCTTGGCTAATTTCTTTGATTACCTAAGAACTAGATATCCAATTACTAAAACCACCTCATGCGGTAAAAATGTACATCTTTGAGACCATTATTTCAAAAAGTGTAATGTAAAAATGTGGCTTGAAACTGGATAAAAAGTCAACTTCTGGCAGACAACCACAATGATGACAAATGCACCAACGGTATGCAATGAACAAGCATGAAAATAAAACATACTGTTAACTTGGTAAAAAATATGGCTTGATCTAGATTTAAAATGTTTTGGATATATTTGGAATAAAGTATTTAGACACCTGAACAAAATATATAAGATAGATCTAGACATTGTAAAGGAAAAATGCCACACATACTTTTGAGTATGCTTGTTATTCTCCACACAGCACTAACAGAAGTTGTCCTGAAATGAATTCACTACCCGTTAGACCTATACCATTTGGTAAAAAAAAGTCCCTTCAGGTGAAACCACTCACCTTTCCTGACAGCGAGCACATGTGGAGGGGAGGAGCCTCGCAGTCTGAAGGAGAGGCTGTCTGGGTTGTCAGGGATCTTCACAATCCTGGATGAGAACAGACCAGTCAGACCAGGGTGCACTTAAGTGTGTGTGTAGGTGTGTGTTTTGAGTGTGTGTGTTCCCTTACTCCTTGGCCTTGGTGGCAACTAGCAGACGGAGGGAGCGTCGCATGCAGAAGGCCTGGCTGATCATGGTCTCCACCTCGGAGAAGGGCCGCAGGAACAGCAGGTCCTCGTTGATGGTGAAGATCTTCCTGCTCACCTGCAGACCCGCCATCTGGACGCACAGACAGGAAACAGAATGTGGTTATTTTCAGCTCCCTCCATTAGCCCCGGTTTGCACAGTTAAGAGTTTCAGGTGGGGATCGCATTGATGGATTTTCACTCTGGTGTAACACTGAGACCAAAACGCAGCATTAGGATCAGATAAAGTATGATTCAGGTTTTCAAATCACCGTCTAGTGTATTCAATTCTGTATATGTGCCTCTGAGTAGCGTGGCAGAACACAAAACATAACAGAGAGAATCAGTGTGTAATTCTCAATATTTTCACAGCCTGTTCTGTCTTGTCATTTTCCAGTGGCGTTCTATATGAGGGAGTTTATATCAAGATGTGGTACTAGATATGATTAAGCTGCATGATATTCACACCAGAGTCTCATGCATGCCGCATGCTGGATCTGCACGTAACTCGAGATTGGAGCCTTACTTTATAATTTCCAAGATATGAGGAGAGTGCGGAAAACACTAAACATGGCAGCAAGAGGGGTTTGAAAATGTGGGTTTAAATGGTAGTATATGAGCTGCCTATTGACATGGGATGGACATAATGTGAGACATCATTCTATTGCATTCTTAAATAATAACAATAAACATCAAACACAAAAGAAAAGGAGATTATAAAAAACCAAAAAATAGACTGAAATCAGTGAGTGGACTTTGATGTGATTTTCTGAATGTATGGAATTCATTACAATAACTCACTCCAGAACAGTACTGCAGTTTGTTGATTAAGATTTTAAGATTCAAATATAGTTGTTATTTTATTGCATGGTCAGTAGATTTGAAGAATGAGTGGAGAATCAGCACATTGGCTAAAAGGTTAAGGCAGTTAGCTAAAATAGATCCAAATAATATCTAATCAAAATTCTTAAACTGAATACAATATGACCAGTCCCGGCAGGGTTCGAGTTATAAACTGAGCTCTATGGGGGTCTTTAAAACGCACACGCACGCAACCATAAAATAATGGTTGTTGGTAATGTATTAGCGACCCCCACAGATGTATGATTTCACTGCGTCCGTGGGAGCTCAGACCCCTCCTTATGGGAGCTCAGCTCTAGGGCTGAACGATTAATCGATTTTAAATCGAAATCGCGATTTTAAATGATGCGATTAAATTAATTTAAAAACTTTTTTTTATTTTGTTCTTCTTGTGTGTCAGTCATTCACACCAATCAGAAGTGCTGTCCTCCACATGTACCAGCCATTGTTAACCAATCAGAAGTGGCCCATGATAGAAGGTGATAGACAGATTGATCCAATCACCTGCCAAGTATTTTTGAAAGTGCCTGCCCTTTCCAAATGGCTTCCAATGGAGCTTTCCTAGATGGTTTGGTGAAACAAAGCATCTGAGTCAGGTTAGTAAGGCTCCATCACATGTTTTACATCTATTACAGGGTGAGTCTTAAACTGAAGCTTGACTTTAAAGCAACCCAACGGAAGTTTCATGTAAGTTTAGTTCTTTCACTTGTAGCTCGGGCTGCGGGGGTGCTTGAGACGGGAGCACGTTGATACGACCTTCCTAGCCGGAGATATCGCCGCATTTTACAATAAACTTCCGTTGGGTCGCTTAAAAACAAATATCGCAAATCAAATCGCAATCGCAATATCTGTCAGAAAAATCGCAATTAGATTATTTCCCCAAATCGTGCAGTCCTACTCAGCTCCCATTGGCTCCCACATAACTCAAACCCTGAGTCCCGGTGCAGGCAAGTAGTAAGCCAACAGTTGCACCCACTGGTATACATGCTCACAAATATCAAACACTGCACAGTCAGCTTCTAAAATCCCCTTTTCATATGACAGACACACAGCCTGCTGCACGTCACTGAATGCAGTCATCCTGCACATCTCCAGTCACGTTGTGGGAATAAAGCTGCCTCTGTGAGTCCAGTGTCCCAGGCACAGATCCGGTGGGGGGGCTCCAACTCTGGATAACAGCCCAGGGTGGATGTCGGAACGACTGGGAGGAGCCACAGCCATTTGAATGCGGAAGGATGTGTGTGCGTGTGATTATACAGCATGGGTGCCTGTCTGCACGTGACTTTCTATAATAGTATCATATAGTGAAAGAGCCGTGTGTGTGTGTGTGTGTGTGTGTGTGTGTGTGTGTGTGTGTGTGTGTGTGTGTGTGTTTGTGTCAGCCCCTTTCAGAGCCCCCTGGGAATCAGCTGAGCTTCATTCACCGTGCTGGCACACGGACTAGCAATCCTGTTATTGTGGGGAATGGGGGATGAATAACAGAGTAAGAGGGGGAGAGAAAATAGGAGAAAAGGGTGAAAGAGGGAGAAGAAGAGAAGAAAAAAAAGATTGTCCAGGAAAAGGAGTAATGTGGGAGTGAAGTGCAATGGGTAACATAACAGAACGGGATGAGAAACCACAGGGACACTAGAGGAATTATGGTAAAATTAAATTGTGGTGAGGAAGGAGTTCCCTTTTATTGGATCTGTGGGAAAGTGACATTCCTTAAACAAACAGGGTATTAACCTGTGTTTTTTAAGGGTTCAAAATGCTGGAAAAATTATAGATGCAGGTTTGTTTGCTGGTCAGATTTGCCAGAAGTCACTTTGTAAAACAATAAGTCTGGCAATGATGACAGAGAAGCAACAGATGTACCAAATTCCTTTTTTACAGACTGCTCTTGAACATAACAGCAAAACTACAACAGGCCTAAATAAGAAGAAACAAAATAGTTATGCCTGTATTAAATCCAACCTCATCTGGGTATTACATTTGCTCAGGATGTATAAAAGGGTTGGTGTGTGGTTTTTTTGGGAGGATGACGTGAGTAAGCAAGACTAATGGCTCGACAGCCAATCAGAACAACGTCATTTCGAAGTGAAACAGAAGCAGACTGACAGCAGACGTCAAAACATTCGACAGCCATTTCAAACTGGAACTAATGCCCCAGGGCGGGTAGGAGATACAGTGTGTGTGTGTGTGTGTGTGTGTGTGTGTGTGTGTGTGTGTGTGTGTGTGTGTGTGTGTGTGTGTGTGTGTGTGTGTGTGTGTGTGTGTGTGTGTGTGTGTGTGTGTGTGTGTGTGTGTGTGTGTGTGTGAGATGGCCATTACCTCAGCGTGTGAGCCCCTGGTGACAGACTTGACCACAATGGCCTTGTTTTTCTCTTCAATCTCAAAGCCGTAGTCTTCCTCCTCGGGGTGAATCTAGCACAGAGAAAATCACCTAATTACTCCCACATTAAGAAGTGTGACACATTATTAGACTTTAACGTATTTCACTGATTAAAAAAGTAATGAAGTAGAAAAATACAGCATAAATATCTTCCAGAAGTGGAAGAAATATCAAGATTTTTTACACGTGAAAGTTGTAATACCACAGTGAAGAAATACTCTTTTTCAAGTGAAATCCTGCACCAAAATATACAATAGGTTAACTATCATCAAAAGTTAACCTACTGATTTTGCAGAGCGGAATCAAAAATATCAGATCCCTGGATTATAATTTGTAATGTGTTCATCATTTATATTTTGCTGCAGGTAAAGTTGGAATAACTTTAAATAGGCCTTATTATGCTTATTGGGGGTTTTCCCTCTCCTGAGTATGTTGTATAGGTTGTGTTTAAAGCATGTCAAATGTAACAGTAGAGCCACAAAATACAAATATTAACCTGAAAATAAGGATAATATATCCTTTTTAATAACTTTCTATACTGCCACCTTCATCCATACCAGTACATCAGAAACTATTTAGATTTGTTACAAATAATATGAAGCTGCAAAGTTACTAATAACTAATGTAGCCGAGTATGTGTATTGCTGAAAAGAAGCGTTGTAGTAATATAAAGAAGCATACAATCGAAATACTAATACAGTACTTAGTTACTTACCATCACCAATATATTCACATTCCTTTTATGTACCATTATGCTAAGCTGCTATTTTTGGAAATCTGTGTAAATATCTTATCATGTGTACATCGTATACATCTGACTCTTAATCAGTAGCTGAATGCTCTTGCCGTAAAAGGTGATTTGTTCATATTTGTGGCAATGACGCGATTTCTTACAACAATGACCCTCTTCCTTGGTGGTCGTACATGCAATTGCAAACTATCCACACATTGTCGAGCTCCCAATCCTGCAATCTGTGGTTTTCATCGAGTGTCAGGTGATTCTACTGCTGATGATGTTCTCTGCCTCTCATATTTAATTCCCCAGTGAGGCGAGGCTTAGTTAAACGCTGTCATCGCCAAACACATTAGCGCGCTTCCATTAGGTAAGCTGCCGGGGCCATCTTCCTGCTGCACGGCCCTGATAAGATGGGGATCTCTGCTCTTACATCACAGGAGATGGCTGCAGTCAATAAAGAGTTCCTGCACTTCACTTGTATAACAGCCATGAGGGAGGATTAGGATTGCTAATCAAAGGGGGGGAGACTGGGCCTACTTCCCACTCTGATGTGAAAAGGGATGCTAGTAAAGCTTCTAGGTTTCTGCAAAGATAACAGACTTAGGCCCCGCTCACACGGGAACGTTTGCGTTTATGCACAGTATGCATATTCAAAAAAGTCTTCCGTTCACATGCATTCGTTTCATTTAACGTGTCTGTTCAAACGAGACCGCTGGAAACGCTGTAGTACATATGCCGGGACTGTAAGTGGCGCTGTAACTTCCACCAAAATACACCAAAAGCAGTGAAGAAGACTCCGCAGCAGCCCCGCAGCAATGTTGCCATGGCTACCCTTCTGTTTACGCCCCGCCGTGGATTTAGCAACATGTAGTTCATGTAATTCTCCATGTCCACTTGTTGCTAATGGTTGTGGTAGAGGAGCTGTAGATTTTTGCACTAATATCTGTAGCATGGTCAGTAGCAGTAGCACTAGCAGTAGCTACTGACAGGAGGAGGAGCATGTCTTCGTGGAGAGGACTCGCTCAGAGAGATATTCTCTACAAACACCGGGTGAGATCCTCCTTTGTCAATATAATGGATCAATGCATGAAATCTGACTCTGTTTATTTTGTTTAAGGAGTATATTGGGCGTTAACAATTCTGGTTTGCCTTTTATAATATTATTTCATTCAAGAACCCCTTGTGCGTTTAATTAACACAGCCATGCTACAGCAGTGAGCAGGAGAGGTGGGGAGAGGTGGGGCTATCGTTATTTTTTCAGGAAATATTCGTATAGAGGTGATTACACGGACTCGGTTGACCCCCCAGAGCGTTTCGTTTGCAAATCTATCCACCTTGGGACCCGTTATCGTTTGTGGGGTCAGTTTCTATCGGCCTCGTGTAAATAATAGGGCTATACGCACGCGAAACTATGCAGATACAAGCAGTTTTCTCCTCGTGTAAACGGCGCCTTAGGCCTAGGCTCCACGAGGACGAAAACGGGTTGAATCCGCATATTTCTCATGCGTATAGCCCTTTAAGCTCGACGACGCCGTAACAGAAACGTAGAAACAGACCCCGCAAACGACAACGGGTCCAAAGGTGGATAGATCTGGGAACGGAGCACTCTGGGGGGTCCAACGGGGCCGTGGGGTCGCCTATACGGTCATCCGTTTCATAGCCCCGCCTCTCCCCGCCTCTCCCCACCTCTGCTGCTCACCCCCGCAAAAGTACACTGCACACTGAATTCAGATTATTTATCTTTATCTCGATATGAACATAAACGCGAGTGAAGTCTAATCTGACAGGACGGAGACACGCAGCTCCTCCTGCTGTGAAGCAGCGGGAGCAAAACACACACTTCAAGTCAGATCACCACCCTTAGCTATTTTAATTACCTCTCAAACTACCTAAACTAGTTATAAATATGTTTATTTTTACTGTCGGGTTTACTTACTGGATCAGCTGCTGCATGAGGAAGCATGAAGATTTAAACTTTAACACACGTTGACCGGCGAAAAACTCTGCCCGGTTCTGTCGGCCCCCACCGCGGAGAATAAACAGAAGTGCGGCCATGACAACCATTCTTCTTCGCTGCTTTTTTGGAGGAAGTTGCTGCTTTTGTGGAGGAAGTTACAGCGCCACGTACAGGTTCGGCATATGTACTGCAGCTTTTCCAGCGGTTGGATGTAAATGGAGCCGTCTCGTGGAGCTTGACACAATCCGGTGTATATTGCGTGTGGGCGGAAGGTTTTTTGCGGTTGCATTTGCGTTACTCCGATGCGTTTTGCCGTATGGGTTCCCGTGGAGCTGGGGCCTTAACCAAAACATTTAAGTGTAAACTGAACTTATTTCATGTACCCAATAAATAAACATAATTTAGATTTAGTTGACTTGATTTGAATTACATAAAAAGTCCTCACTAGTACACACATTGTATGTTTCATATACATACAGTGTAAGATCTGGTAACTGATTTACCTTAGAGATCCCTCATGTACGCACTATTGTTGGCAGAACAGAGCAAACTCTTGAATGAAAAGTATATCTGACTGCAGATAATACTCTCTCTTTTCTCAGCAGCAATCCAAAAGGGACTTTATCCCAGGCAGTACAGTTGGTTTTCCACAAGACAAGACTCATTAAGCATACAGAGCAAATTCAAAAGGTGTTGTTTGTCATCAAAGCAGTCCCTGCTGCCAGAGGGAAAAGGGATGTTTCCGTGTGTATATTGATGTTAATTACATCTGGCTGTGGAGATCGGGAAGAAGAATACACAAACTAACTGGAGTGAAAGATATAGTAGTATGTATAGTATGCTGGTGTGTCAGTTCAGTTAGCTTTACAACAAAAGGGCCCTGTTATATCCCTGTGTATATAGTATCTGCATGAAAGGGTGATACATATCCAGAGAAATATGGATAGGTTTGAAAAAACGAGCTTTGTTTTGAATCAACTGATTTTCCCTTCCTGAACTATATATATATATTTCTTTGGATAACTAAAGTTGATAATGCTGGTATCATAATAATGAATGCAAATATCTTTGTGCCATATTAATAGCAATTACTTCAGTGAAACACTTTAACATTCCCATTATTATAATACTTTTTTGAGCAAGTGTGGCAATTCGAACAGAATGCGACAATGAGCCTTTGTGTAACCATGTGTGACCAGTGTGTAACCAGTGTGAGAGAATGTGTGTGTGTGTGTGTGTGTGTGTGTGTGTGTGTGTGTGTGTGTGTGTGTGTGTGTGTGTGTGTGTGTGTGTGTGTGTGTGTGTGTGTGTGTGTGTGTGTGTGTGTGTGTTAAAGCTTACCACCAGGGACTTGGCTAAGATGTTCTCGATGAGTTTGAAGTCATTGCGCTGGAGCTGCTTGCTCTTGGTACTCGTTCCCTCCATTTCCTCGTCCGCGTAGAAACGGAAGAACTGGGACTCGTCTTTGAACTCGCTCTTCTCCAACACTGAGGGGAAAAACAAACGCAGCATGTTATCAGAAAACTGCTGCGTTCAAATCAAAGTATAAAGAAAGCTCTTTATTTAATTATTCTCATTTATTTAAAATGTAAATAGGCTGCACATAGACTATGTAGCTAAGGAAGACCAAATACATGCCTGTCAATGGAGAAAATAAAACATATATTGAAGGGCAAAAAGGCAATATTTGAACTTTCATCGATTATATGAATTTGTCTGAGGTACTTCAAGAAATGTTACGTTATATGGTGAGGTATGAAAAGGAGAAATATGCCGCTTATCTAGTTTTATTCATTTATTTAGCTTTGTATTTATCTACCTTTTTCCCTACCATTATGTTCTGTCATTTATGTTTTACAATATTATCCTGATGTGATCCTGACTATTTGTAATATTTTGATGGAAACCAGTAAATACATTGTTGAAGAAAAGGACTCAAATAGCAATGGTTTGTTTCTCTATTAAAATATGCTTTTTAAAAGGGTTAAAGGGATGCCAATAATATGCCAAAAAAAGCCTTAAGCATTAGCTTAGATCAGTGGTTCTCAACTGGTCAGGCCTCGGGACCCACTTTTTACTTGGTCAATACATCGCGACCCAACATTTTGAAGCACTTAAATCTATTCAACAAAAAATCGTGCAGTAATATATACGCTTTTGAGCATACAATATTAATAAAAGTGAAGTACAGTGCATATATCCCTTATGTCCCTTCACAGAACTAAAGTATGCTTTTAAAAAAGGTTTAATGAGATGATGGAATCAAAGCTGAACTATATAAAAAGGCACACATGCTGAAAACCCAACCCCAGCAGGGGGGTCTGGGGGGATTCTCCCCCAGGAGATTTTTAGAAATACTAACAAACTACGCATTCTGGTACACTCTGAGAAGAAAATAAATAAATCTATTACTACCCGACATATTGATAATATTTTATGCCATTGTTTGTTTTTCACTTTGTTCTAACATCTTGCTGCGAGAAGAGCAAAGAGGAGATTTACTTTAAATTGTGGGTAAGGGTAGATAGCTCCCATTGTTCTGTGACCTGTCAATCATCAAACCGGGGGTCATATTTCATTATGTGTTCATTTGTATCTGAAGTTGTACCTATGGATGTATAAAGAAGAGTTCTACCGCAAAGTTATTCTCCGTGGGGACTTCCGGCAACAATCTTGATTCTGATTGGCCAGAAGACTCGAAAAAACATCAGCAAAGATATTTTATTGAGAAGATGATCGTGACAGAAGTTTTCAAAACCGTTTATGGTCTCCGGTACTTCCTGTCCAACGCCGACTGCATGCACAGCGTTAGCAAATCGGGCATTCAAAATAAAAGTTTGACTTTTCCCCCCCAAAAAAAAAAAAAAAATTCCAATTTTTTTTTTTTTACTTTTTTTTCTTCACTCACACATCCGCGACCCACTCGAAACGGGTCCGCGACCCACTTTTGGGTCGCGACCTACCAGTTGAGAACCACTGGCTTAGATCATCCATGGTTGCTCCATTATTAATCCAAAATTGGAATGAGTTTTCGAGTCATACAGGCTAAATTGATAGTGTTGTTGCAAAATTGGACCTTGTAAAAGTGAAGTGTGTTACATGATGGCACAAACTCTGTCAGCGGGTCATTCTCAACTTCAAAGACATGTGGAGATAAAGAGAGTGTTTGCCCTAGAAGCTGTCACCCAATGCGTGGACAGCTTCACACAAACAAGCTAACGGTTAATTAGTTCATAAGCTAATGGTGCTAGCAGGAACATCTGGAGTCAAACCACATCTGGGTCGTAGCCAGCTCGGGCCAGGGATAGGGAGTATTCCCTGGGGGACACAAGGATCACTGTTTGTGTGTGTGTCGGGGTGTTTGTGTTTGGAAATCCCACTGTTGAGCTGAGCCCACTCCAACACATGGGGCACGGCTAACAGGTGAGGACACATTACAGATGCTTCTACAATCATAGCAGGATTGGACTTTTTAAAACACACTACATTAACCCTACTGTGGATTGTTTTAAAGGGGCATTATTATTCTCATTTTCAGGTTCATATTTGTATTTTGTGCCTCTACAGTGACATGTCTCCATGCTTTAATATTAAAAAAGGTCTTTATTTTTCTCATACTGCCTGTGCTGCAGCACCTCTTTTCACCCTCTGTCTGAAACCAGAGCCCAGTCTGCTCTGATTGGTTAGCTGGCTCTGTTGTGATTGCTCAACTGCTTAGAGATGACCAGCACCTTAGGTTGCAGCCACACGGAGACGAAACGGGTCGTATCCGCTACAGTTCTCCATCTTATAGACGCAGGTAACGATAACGATAATGGGTCCCAAGGTGGATAGATCTGCAAACGAAATGCTCTGGGGGGCCGTGTCTCCGTGTCTATGCCCTATACGATAATTTCCTGATAACGATGACGCAATAGCCCCGCCTCTCCCCACCTCTGCTGCTCACTGCTGTAGCATGCTACAGATGTTAGTGCACAATCTACAGCTCCTCCACCACAACCATCAGCAACAAGTGGACATGGAGAACTACATGAACTACATGTTGCTAAATCCACCACGGAGAATAAACTCCTGGGGCAACCAGGCAACCATGGCAACCATGGCAACCATGGCAACCATGCTCGGGAAGTCTTCTTCGCTGCTTTTGGTGTATTTTGTGGCGGAAGTACAGCGCCACTTACAGGCCCGGCATATGTACTAGTGTCTCCAGCGGGTCGAGCTGTCTCGTGTGGACGGACTTTTTTTATGTCGAATTCGGTTCGTTTTCGTTATCGTCTCCGTGTGGCTCCAGCCTTAGTCACATACAATGTTTAGGAGCGCTAGCCAATAGAAGCACCTGTGTTGCATAGTGATGTCACTATGTTGCGTAAGTAAACAAAGGACCACAATTGAGGCATTTTAGGGAGGGGGGGGGACTGTGTGGAGTGTTAGATGTACAAAAACCTATTTAACACACTACCGGAAAGGGTAAACCCCAGAAAGCATAATAGGGCTCCTTTAATATTTCTCAGGAAATAACTTACGCCATTGAGACCCTCAGTCACAGCATGTGAGCGTTTATTGTCCACAACAAAACATTTCTTGGATGATTTTTTTGTATTTTAACATTGATTTTGTAACTTTTTGTTGAACACAACATTAGAATAAATAGTGACGGCTCTTCTCGCTGGCAACAACTCTCGCGGTCTGTTTTACTTGCATCAAGTCTCTGAACAACGCAGCAACAGGTGCAGATACACAAGTGTGTATGAAATGACAGTGACATGGGAAGCTCACATTTGGAGTAAAGCCATGATGTGAGAGGCAGATATCCTTGTGTTTAAACATTTTAAAAACATCCATCCTGGATGTCACAGAATGTTTTACATTTGGCCTAAATCTCACACACATCTACCCATACAAAGACTTCCAACTAGGAACATTACCTAATCTTAGGTGCATACATCTATATGGCTGAGGCTATACCCAGCTGTTCAGAGATTTGGCGAGCATCTGGCCCCCTCAGGTGAATGAAAGCCTTCCTAAACTGATTACACACACACTGGCCTTATGCCAGTTAAAACAAAGCCTGAACGTGAGTTATTTCCTCTGAGTCACGGGCTGTGGTCATATAATAGCATAACACCACCTATTCAACTGGAGGGAGTGCTGCTCTGGAAACTGTAATACCGTAATAACACACACATAGTTACACACACACACCCACAATATCTAGGGTCAATAAAACCGTGATTAAGATTTGGTTGGATATTTATTCACTGAATCACTTGATATAACGTTTGAATACTACGTCATTCACAAGAAAACCATGTTTTTGTTTTTTTTGGTTTCAATATGAACGTTTGCCTATTTTATTTGTTTTGTATGTCAAAAAACATAAAAAATACACATATGATGAATAAGATCAGTAAATAAATCTTTCAATCTGTTAATGTTGTGTGTATAACAGGAGTAATGGAGGATAGGTGAAAATTGTTCCCTGTTTGTAGCCTGAAGGACAAAACCCAACAGGTGGTCTTGACAGACGTGTGGATATATGATGTAAGCAGGTAAGGACAGACGAAAGGCATTTAACCATGTTATCTGTTATCAGTGAGGAGCCTCATAACCTCATATCAATTACCAGCAGGCAGACAGACAGATATAACAAGACAAGTGAAGGAAGACAAGGACATAACAAAGCCAGAAAAAGAATAAGAGTTCAACAGAGACCAGGTGAAGAGCAACAGATGTGCTGAGTAAGGACTAAAAAGTGTGAGTTGGGGAAAGGTGAGAAGTGTGGACAGGCGGAGAGGAGAGAGGTCGTGACCCTGGGGAAGGGCAGAGAGGAGGGCGAGGTAAAAAAGAACAGGTGACACCAACAACAGATGGTGAAGGGTGGGAGGGAGGGAGCGAGGGAGGGAGGTGTGAGTGGCTTTTACTATGAAATGAAGCAAGGGGAGGTACTCTGATGAGGACATGTCCTAGCCCCCTATCATTGTCTTTCAATCAACTTTGTTCCTCATATTACAGTGTTTTCACTTTTAACTACGATCCCAACTAAAATATTATTGTTTTGTATGTTCATTTGGATTTTGTTTTTAACATATACTTTAAGTGTCATCATTATTGGGGCTGTTTTATATAAACTTTACATTTTGTATGTAGGTTGTATGTGTATGTATATCATTTTTGTATAAATGTAATGTTATTATTGTTTATTTTATTTTTATGTTTGTATTCCTTTCCTTTTTTTCTGTTGATAATGTAAAGAAAAAACTGCTCTGACTTAAGGCATGTCTTTTTTAATTGGTTTAACTTTTTATTTTGTTGTGCTTCTGGAATTCTTCACCTTTTACTTTTCTTTTTTTTTTAGCAACGTTAACAAACTAATTAAATAAAAAAAGAAAGGATGGGTGAGGTGTCAATCAGCTGAGTTTAAGAAAAAGAAAGCCACTTTTAAACAACCAAGGACTGATTTTATGTGTTAAAATGACAGTTAAATATAAAAACTTGAGAAGCGGTTTGTACGCTATTAATCCTGTACTGTCTATCACTTGTACCGAGTGCTGCAAGCCATGTTAGAAAGTATCCAATGGTGCCTGTTTGCTGTATTAATGTATTCCAATTCGATCTTTAAGAGGGTATGAACTATTCCAATTAAAATGAAAGGCCCATCGCAGAGAGCAGAGCTCTACCAAGGCCGTTTCCATGGAGGAAAACATAATCCCAGAGCTTTTTAAACATCAAGTTCATGGACTTTACAGGCCGAATTCCCTCCAATTCAAGGACCCTACATAGCATAGTTTGAGCCGCAGATCAAGATGAATTGCCATTACAACACTGAGAATGTTTCTAATGAGAACTAGCAAGCTTATCAGAAGCAAACAGACAACTAATTAAAGTGATGGAGAGGTTTGAATGTGTGAACACTCAATTGTGCAGTTTTAAGGTGAAGATAACAACTGCCATTAACTCTAATTATCAAAATCAAAAAAAAGAATTTGCATAGAAGATATCAATCCAATCACTTATAATGACCATTGTCATGATTTCAAGGAACCGTGTGAACCATGAATAATGCTTATACCTGCCGTGTGATTCAGATCCACTACCAATGTAAAAATGCCTTCCTTGGCCAACGAAAGACCTTAACGCTAACCTTAAAACATATTATCAACCCGAGATAATAATGCATTATAATTTACTTATCTACAAATCTCCCAATTAGAAAATGTGTAACAATGACTCAGACTTCTGTATTCTTGCACACTTCCCGATCAAGTAGCGCTGTCATCATGTTACTTCTTCAGTATTCTAACACGAAGTACTTCCTTTAAGTGGTTCTCACTTTACACATGATACTCTTCCTCTAAGTAGATTCAATTGTAGGCCTCGAGCAGCAGTCATGGTTCGGTGGACTGACCCAGACAGCCATGTAGCAAAGCCAAACAACTCGGGTTAGGGTACAGTGCTAATGCTTGTTTACGCTCAACACGTTGGGATAGACCCAAAGCCGCTCCACTACAATGTGGTCAATGAGAGACTTGGCTGAGACCAGGTATGCATATTTAAGGCACAATTTCTTCAAACTATGAAGACATGACAGAGGAGAAGCTAATATTCTAATAAACTATTTTGTGGGTAGAGCGAGTGACTTGGGGGTACAATGAATTATAGAGTAAAGAAAAAAGAATACTGCAAGGGAATGATTCATCAAAATACAGCAGTGAACATGTGAACACTGTAAATAATAAGACAAACACACCATGCATGTGTCATTGATCCTTTTAACTTAAAGGTGGGATAGGTAAGTTTGAGAAACCGGCTCGAGATACACTTTTTGTTATATTCCATGGAATGCTCTTAACATCCCGATAGCAATGAATATCTTAAGTGCTTTGACAAAAAAATACATAAAAAAATGTCATCTGTGGAAGCCGTAGTACTGTAAAAAGCACGACCAATCATTTTAGCCGGCCCGGCTAAAATAACTGGATGGCCTACCTGCCTGTCAGCCTTCCATCTGTGCACAAACTTATCTCGTGCCCTCATTGGTCATGTGCGCGTTCGTGTGTGTTGGAGGAGGGGCTCTGTAAGGAAGTGGCAGATTTTCTCCGGTTGTGTATTTTCAAATTCTAGCGATCTCGAGCCGGTTTCTCAAACTTACGTATACCCTACCTTTAAGTTAAAAGAAGAGCGTCATCATGAAGGGGGAAATCCTCGTCACTTTGTATGTCTTTCCCCTTCATGTATGTGTGTGTGTGTGATACGAAATTCAACTGACCGTGGTGCATGAAGCCGTTGTTGCAGAGCCCCACGCCCAGCGTCACAGCGTCCTCTCGGGTCGTGCAGTCTCCCTGGGAAACCAGATCAATGACGCACACACTCCGTCAGTCACTCACAATGGATGTTTCACACCTTCTCATGCACAGCAGACTGTTATCAGGTTATCAGGATGGTGATTTGTAAGCCATCATGTGTTAATTCATATGTCTATAATAAAGACAATGACAGATTAGGAGGCTGATCAAATATGTTCTTGGTGATCTGACTAATCTATTTATTATTTATTGCAAATGTATGACTTTTTTCAATTTCAGAACTTCCGTTGAAAGTATGTACCATTTCAACCGCAGAAAGTATTTGCAATATTTCTGATAATTTTATTATAAGTACTTTTTTTACTTGGGCCTTCAATGCAGGGGTTAAAAGTAAAATACTAACATGAAGAATCTATTACAATGACACAAGAAAACTGCCCAGTTTCAGTACGACAGGTATTTGTAAGCCATTGTTGCATGCTCACTTTTATGTGTTTTGATTAAATTAAAGTGTAACACATCTTAGTTTTTACCTGCAGGAGTAGCCAGTCAACCAGTTTGCTGGCAGGAATCACCGATTTGAAGGTTTTCAGATGGTGGTCTCTGTCCCTATTGAAGCAAAGAAATACGAAATAATTTAAAGGATGTATTATCACAGTAAAATGCCAGTAGTGTGTGGAAAAAAAGTTCTTGAAAGTCTGTGGGTTCACATGAAACGTGTGTTTAACAGTTAACAAAACCTCTTTATGGTAAACATTGCCAACACAGTGTCTGTTTATGTAATGTCTCCATTTTTGGGAAACCGAAAAAACAGAACAATGTCTCTGATAGAGTCGGTGAAGTAATAACTTAAATATATATATATATTATTTGTGTTTTTGCAATTACAACATCACAAATTGTTGTTGTAGATACTGTCCGAAGTAATATTATTTAAGTAAAAGTACAAAAGTATTGACATCAGACTTTACCTAAGTACCAGAAGTAAAAGTATTTTTGCATTATGGCCCATTTTAGAATAATATATATTAAATTCTAAGGTTATGATTATTGATGGATTAATGTCACAGCTAGTACATTTGATATACTGCTGATGAACCTCTTAACCTTAGATTGTTTGTCAATGTCTATTTAGTTGATTTATATTTCTCATATCTCAATCTATAGTAAGAGTAGAAGCATTTTATGCTTTCGTTCTGAATGTGGCAGTTTGCAATATAGGGACACACCCAATATCTTACTCATAATATTGAGATGTTAAAGCGAATTCATTTATGCATTCAGAATTTTCAGAACGAAAGCATAAAATGAAAATACTGAGGTAAAGCAAAAGTACCGTAAAATTGCACTTAAGTACATTTACTTTATCACATTCGATATATATATATATACATAACTCTTATGCTGCTACTATGAGATTTGTATTCTATTAATGTGTGTTTCTATTAATGTGTGTGCTTAAACGATGTATATTTTCCCTCTGTGGCCACCAAAAAAGGATTTATGATTCTGATATATGTAAACATGTGAAACAGGAAGTGGATGGTGGTTGGTTTTGAGTGTCAAACGGTATATTCGCTTTAACATCTCAATGTTATGAGTAAGATATTGGGTGTGTCCCTATATTGCAAACTGCCACATTCAGAACGAAAGCTCAATAGAAACACCGGTTAAGAGCAGATGTGGAGAAGAAGTGCACTGATTGATATTGCATTAAAACAACATGGAAAGTGAGCAGCATTCATAAATTATAAGCGGGACAAATGGTTTTCTGAGTCATCCTCTCTACAGCATTAGACGGCATTCAAGTTGATTTGATTATGTTTATATCCATTTCATTATATGTCATTATTTTTATTTATATAAAACCTGCGGGCGTTTTGTCACTCAACAAAGTTTGATAAAAGGGAGGCACTGGTTATAATTATTTATAATACATAAAACGCAACACATCCATCACTGTAACATTATAATTAATGGTTGCTACTTACAATGCCAATTTAGTGATGGTTACAAAAAAAAAGCCAAGGACTTATTACATAATATGTGAATGGCAGGGAGAGGGATTGCCTTTGTATGGTAATAGGATTTATCCCCGGGCCAAAAGCTCTTTTGTTTGCGCCCAATGGCAACCCCGGCACTTCAATCAGCGGGTGAGTGATGTCGGGGAGATAGAGGGGTGAATGGGGAAGAGTATAAAGGGAGGGGCCGCGGCAGACTGAGAATGTGTGTAGGGGGAAAGACGTGCGTTTCCTGTGCTTCTGTATAAACTTGTACTCGATTCTGACTCTTCCGATGGAAAGCATTTTTGTACAGTGAGATCATTCTTCCTCTTTTTGAGACTAATTTCACTTCAGGTATTTTACCCACAATCAGTGCAAAAAGATTCATAGAAGTTTAAAAGAATAATCAGGAACTAATGGAGAACTGCATTTGTATATATTATCATAGGGTAAATAAAATACAAGGTAAGGTGAGTGTGTATAAACTGTATTGTGTTTATATTCCAGTGTAACCGTGCTATGGTTTGTAGGTAAGAAAGTCAGTTAGTGTGATTGTGAGAGTGTCTTTATGTGTGTTAAAGAGGGAGAGAGCAGACAGGAGGGAAACAAATGTATGCTCATTTTCAGGTTCATATTTGTATTGTGTGTCTCTACTGTGACATGTTTACATGCTTTAATGTTCAAAAGGTCTTTATTTTTCTCATACTGCCTGTGCTGCAGAACCTCTTTTCACCCTCTGTCTGAAACCAGAGCCCAGTCTGCTCTGTTGGTTAGCTGGCTGGCTCTGTCGTGATTGGTCAACTGTTTAGAGATGTCCTGCCTCTTAGCCTATCACGTACAATGTGTTGAAGTGCTAGCCAATAGAAGTGTTACATAGTGATGTCATTATTTTACGGAAATACACAAAGTAGTCCAAAGGAGGCGTTTCAGGCACTAGACTAGAGGTTTTGGGAAAGGGAAAACCCCAAAAAGCATAATAGGGCCTCTTTAAAATGTTTGTTAAGTACAAACATTTTAAAATCCACTAGCATAAATTAAGATAATCCATAAAACTTTAAAGATTAACAGACAAATGCAAGTAGTTTTTCTTAATCCTTTAAGAGCTATCTCATATAAACCTTTATTCAGGAAAAACCTGGCAACCTGCACCTGAACTGGATCTGGTGAACCTACAGCAGCAAATATCTGGCAGGGAGTCTAAAGTTTGGAGAGGAAAAGGGAGGTTTGAGGGCTCCTATTCCTGGCAGGGCTACTGTTAGTTCAGTCATCACAGACAGGGTGAAGCGGGCCGAATGTGAAGTCTCTATGAATATGTATTCGTGCACCTGGAGAGTGGGAGCATTAGCATATGAGGGGGGGAGAGAAGGGCAGGTACTTACTTGATGACAGGCGTGTGGAGGCTGTGAAGGCGGCAGTACAGCCTCACGCCCTGGAAGAGAAGAAAAGAGAAGTGGAGACGCTGAGTCATAGAGCACACACACCTTGGGTAAACAAGTAGCAGCATGGCTTCAGGACAAGAGATTTAACTGTAAAAAGAGTTACCCCCGGGGCTATCCATTTTGGACATTTCATAATCCCGCTATAGTTGGGAAATTCAGACTCAAGCAAACTAACATACCAGGCTTTACATATATATTGTTTGTTTGGAATCACAGTTTCCTATGGGAGGTGATTAGTGCCTTCAGACTCTGTGAACATGTACAACTGTTAGGCAGCAGACACCGACGTTTATGCTGTATCAATAAAAAAATGTCTATGTTGAACTCTTCAGCAAAGGTGCAGGCAATGACGCACTTTTTAATCTAAAAAAATATATGTTTTACATTTCTTATCAATCACCAACGAGGATATTCATACGCAGAATTGTAGTTACCTTAGACATGATGTCCTCCATCTCACTGCGGGCCTTGTAGGTGCCGTCGTCGTAGCGGAATCGGTACAACACCTGCTCGTTCTTGAACTGGTGCTTGTCTGACACTGAAAGATACCCAGAAGGAGAACATGTTACCTCAAGGGGAATCATAACCCATCAGATATTAAAATGTAATTAAGAAGGATCGTGAAAAGCATCAATGTTCCAAATGCTTGTTACATGTAAATGGCTGGCCTTTATTTAATGTCCATATGTATTACAGATATCAGTGACTGAATAGCCACAGCATGCCTATGGAAACAAAATGTGAGAGACTCACGCTGTAATGAATTTGTCTGAGCATTTTCAAAAATGCAAGTTACAAAATATTAATGGATTTGAGCATTAGGTTTATTTTTCAAATATTCTGTGACTTTTTTAGACATTTAATCTTCAGAAAATATTAGGGTAAGTACAGACAGTAGGCGAGATGTGAGACATTTGTGAGCAACACTGCAGTGGTAAATTCTGTCTGCATTGGGTAAGCAATGAAATTCAAATATTTAACACAGCGGACGGCTGCCAAATCCCATAAAATGTCCAAATTTGCAATAACAAACAAAAACATTTGATCTATGATTCATTCAACACTACACAGAACATGAATGAATAAAATGACTAATGCATATATAAACAGATGCCTGACGGTGAAATCAGCCAAACAGAGGCAGTTTGCTTCCACCACAAGTTGGCATGGGCTCAAACAGAGCTGCTGGTTTTCTCAGTCTAGACCTAAAATGTCCTCATAAAACCCAAAGCAACACAATCAGCCATTGTAAAGTGTCACATATGGAATGTAAAGTACATGAAATGATAGCTGAATGATTACGGGAGCGAAGGAAAAATTACAAAGTATGAACGGGTGTGTTTTAGTTGCCTGAACACGGACAGCTGATTGGATAAAACTTGAATTATGTACGATAAAATGCACAAATTACCTCTATCGGATTCCTTTTCACTGACTTATAGTGAAACCTACACTTTGCCTCTAGGGCCTGAGATGCTAACGGTTTACCCACAAAGCCTCACTGCTACCCTACAGACCGCTGCGTGTCATCACTCCACCTCTCTGTGGTTGTTCGAAAGATTTCAGGGGATTTCCCGCAGGTATTAAGGAATGTGAAGGTTGGGTAAAAAATTCCCTGAGAGGGCGGTGTGTATAAATCGTGATAGTGGTTTAGCACTTACTATGTACAAGAGCGCCTTCAGCAATACTCTGGACAAACTGGGTTCATACATTATGTATTGTAGCTGTTTGTGTCAGTGCTCTATGCATAATTCACTCAGGTTGGCTGACCTGTGCATGTCCCACTCAAGCTAAATCAGGGAAGGGGAAATAATGTGAGAGACATTTCCAGAATTATTTCCATCACTTATTTTACCCAATTATGGTGATTTCTACCTTAACATTGGAAATGGGGTACAAATTCATAACATGGATGACTCAAAGACTGAAGAAGAATGGGAATAAAAGAAAAAAAGCCTTGGTTGAGATGACTAAACAAAGTTAAAAATAGAATACATGATAAGAGGAGCTGCCAAGAGCTCAAAGATGAGAAGTAGAAAGGAATTGAAGATGATCGAGGTTTCACAAACAGAGGGAGAATGAAAGCAGAAAATAAATAAAGGATTTTGTTTAATCTCACCATGGTGAATGATGCCATTTTCCAGCAAGGCTTGTCCCAGGTTGACCCCTTCGTCAGACTTACTGATCTCTCCGCTCTCTATCAGCCACGACACAAACTCACTGAGAACACAAAGAGAAAGAAGCATACGATGAGGCCCACATTTCTTAAATTGGTGATCCGTTACGCTGTTTTGTTTTTGAAAATGCAACCATCTTTGGCACAGGGCTCCTTGCTGTGCTTTTGACGGCGTGGAAATTCACCCTGAATGCAAACAGCGTAGGTGACACTTTGTCTGAGATTTGTGTCGATAAAGTTGGGATTTATCTGAAAATGGTCATGCGCATGGCTTAAGCTAAACACTTACCATATAACTCTCATAAAACATGCACACCTCCCTTGTTCTGAGGGATGGGTTTTCTTTTTTTTTACATTTTATTTAATTGGCAAGTTTCTAAGAAATAAAAAGGCAGCTAGCCTTAGCCTACCAATTGTATTTATTTATCAGGCAGCATTTTTCTATAACTTGAAGTTGTTACTGCTGAATTTACCAAATATAACTATGCGTTTTTTTTTGTGTAAGCTTAGCATCAATAAATGTTGCCTTTAGTCTTAGGTTTGTATTTGTTTGCCCATTATCTCATACAACCTTTACTCTGCCTCCATGCCATAATTTTCAACATCAATTAGAGTAAATCCTGAAATAAGGACCCCATGTACTAAATCAAGAATCCATTTTGATACGGACATTTCTCAAAGCCTTTTAGAATCGTATCGTGGCACCAAGAATCGAAGTGGAATCTTGATTCACATTTTAATCATAGGGTAACATAGGGATGGTATTTTTTTAACCACACTTTTACCTACTGCAACAGAACTCACTTTAACCGTCTTTTAATAATACATGTGATGAGTAAAGTGCCCGCATACCTTGCAAGCAGAGTATATTGCTTTCAGTATGCCTACCTGACCTGACCAGTGAAATATATCTGTTCTGTGGTAAGGCTGGCATGTACAGTACATTCACAGCCTTGCGCAAAGCACCATCATGACATTTAAAATTGGTTACAGTTTTAATGAAATACTTCAACCACAGACCAGAGCACATCTACAGTTCAACTTTCTTTGAAGTTCCTCTTTTTGCGACAAATATCCCTCAAGCTTTTGATACTGTACATGCATTACACATCCGAATTCAAGCACTTCAGCTCCGCTCCCCTTTTTTTCACAGCCAGTGTGAGCTGAACAAATGTTTGAAGGAGAAAATTACATTCTCCCCTTCTTCGTCTTTCATGGTACTGAGGGAAATTGGTTCCCCAGATAATGACGAAAAGTGAATTGGAGCTAGCTAGTGTGTGTTTGTGTGTGTGTTCATGAATTCTGGGATTAAACATTCCAGCATGGGAACAATTTTACAGAATGTGTGAGAAATCTTTCTGGACTTGACTTCTAGGTAGGAATATGTTATCATAATAAAGAAAGAAAAAAAGTGTCATTATGCCTTAGCTATTAGTGTATGTGTTGTTGTTGTCTTCCTGTTTGTTCATGTCAAAGCTGGTGGCTGTTAATTGACATTGACTGGGGACTGAATGGGAGGGTGTGTGTGTGTGTGTGTGTGTGTGTGTGTGTGTGTGTGTGTGTGTGTGTTGTAAGAGTCAGGTTAATTTTGGAAACAGAGCTTGAAAGGAAATGAATATGATGAGCAGGAAATGTGTGTGTGTGTGCGTGTGTGTGTGTGCGTGTGCGTGTGCGTGAGGAAGAGGCAGAGGCAGAGTTTGTTCAGCCACACACGGAGAAGAAGACGAAGACAAGAGAAATGGATTTGTGGGAATAACTGCTGATGATTAGTTGAGTTCAGCATAACTGAAATAAAGTTCAAGTCAGAAACTGTGAAGTGACAACTTTTATGTTTCAGGTTTACATTAGGACCCATTAAGCTCATTTTCAGGATTCATATTTGTATTGTGTGCCTCTACTGGGACAGTCACATGCTTAAATGTTCAAAAAGTTCTTTATTTTTCTCATACTGCCTGTGCTGAAGCACCTCTTTTCACCCTCCGTCTGAAACCAGAGCCCAGTCTGATCTGATTGGCTAGCTGGCCAGCTCTGTTGTGATTGGTCAACAGCTTAGAGATGTGTTGGAAATGTCCCGTCTTTTAGAATATCACTCACAATGTGTTAGATTGGGACAATAGTGTGCTTTAGGGCCATACAAAAAATGCATACTGGCTTTTTAATGGCGTAATTACTTTTGTAATGTAAATGAGCAATAGACAAGCTTATGATCTCACAGTTGGTTTGCCTTTATAAGGTTTTCAACATTGCAACTAATGAGCTAGCGGCTAGCATGTAAGGGTGCTAATAGGACTAGCAATACAAACAGCAACATTGCTGACAAAGCTAATAGTGTTAAACTGAGGAGTAACTGGAAAGTAGACGTTTTGCTTCCAGTACTAGCAAGCCAGTGGGGGACACTAGCTAGGAGTTAGCATTACCTCTAAAAGTCGCTAAATACTAAAGTACATGCTCAAAACCTGCTCAAACTAAAAATGTACTTTAGAATTTGGACACAGCTACATTTTGTTAGAAAAACAAAAGCTAGAACAAAAGAAAATCATGCAGAAATTGAGAGGGGAGATCTGATATCATTTTCTGCTAGCGTTAGCACTCCTATTAGCACAAACAAAGAGAAAAAGACACTTCAATTTGATCAAATACCATTGCTTTAAATCCTAACAAACGATGTTAGGCAAGCACTGGCATGACCAAACAAGTACCATTAACACATTTAAAGTGTGTTAACACCGACCATCTTCTAATATTAGATAGCAGAAAGATGATGGGATGATGCTATCAAGGCAACAGGGTGCTATCAGCCGGCTGTCATCATCTCTTTTTAATGCAATAAGCTCTCCAACTATGCTTGCTGCTAATTTCATCAGAAAGACAAATGCAGAGCTAATGCAGGTTGCACTTATCAGCAGGAAATGACTGAGTGATTAAAAGAGGAAAGGGAGAGATGATAGAAAGTGAAAACACAGTGAGGGAGAGAGGCAGGCAAACTGGAAATAAGGGGGTGAGAGGCTAAAAAAGGATTGTCTGAGAAAATAAACATTTATGTTGGCAAACAGTAGAATCTGCAACAGCTTGACAGCTACTGTGCTGGCACTGAACAGTGGCTCTGACCTACAAGTGAAGTGAAGGAAGATAAAACATTCCTTCTACGAGAATACTATTACCATGAGAGGCAAGTGAAAAAAGATATGCTGGTGATCTATTTTATCCTAACGTCAACAAAGGTTTTGAAAGGATAATCAGCAATCTTTAAAAAAAGAAAATTCTTCTGTGACAAAGGTAGTAAAAATGTTTTGCAAGCATTATATTTATCAAGTGAGTTCTGAATGTTCTCACAAGTACATATATTGGATATTGCATACTAAATATTAAAGCAGACTATTTCTAGCCAAAGGAAAAAAATGTAAATACTGTTACATAACTTGTTCAAGTGCAGAAATTGAAATTCACCTGTAAGAAAACAAAAAACTAGAATTTAGGGAAGTGTTGCCCTTGACGGAAATGAGCATAAAAAAGAAACACAAAAATAATCCTGACAAAAAAGTTTCAATACTGGCAAAAACGTTTTTATCCCACTCAGATGAAAAAAAAAAAAAAGATTCAAAATTGATCTTCGAAGTAAAACGTTTTTCCTTACCTGTTCTTGAGTCATAAAGAGAGAAACCCATTTAAAGGGGACCTATCATGCAAAATGCACTTTTGTACGTCTTTTATACATGAATATGTGTCCCCGGTGTTCCAGGGAACTCACCAAGTGTCAGAAAACACAACCCTCTCTATTTTCCTCCATACCCAAATCTCTAAAAAAGGGGCTGCAACGGATCTGATAAAAACTGATCCAGATTTGAACACTGTCCTGACGTCAGGACGGTGGCACTACGGCTATTGGGCCAACTCCACCAATCAGGAGGAGACAGCCACGGCCATTGCCGTTCGAAAGCGCTGGAGACGCTGTAGTACCTATGCCAGGCCAGTAGATGGTGCGGTTCTCACAGAATCTGCCCTTGCAAAAACAGAGCTAAAAAATGTCAAATTGAGCAAAATGAGGCATGGCTAAAATGCATGATCTGTTTGGTATTTTGAAAAAAGAAAAGTATAAATATGCCTTATATAGGTATGGTCCTACACTATATTATTATAATATAGCATGATAGGTCCACTTTAAATCAGACAGAAAATTGATCACCAGAATAGATTTTCTTCTCTCTTGACTTTAAGGCTTCTGTAGTATGCTAGTAACGCACTGTTCTTAATACAGTATACTCTGACAGGGAAGGAGAGTGCTTAATGCTGACATGTACTTTTATGCAGAATGAAGTTCATGAAAGCAGGTACCTTGGACGGAGAGAAGAAAAATCCCAGACAAGGACTTCACATGACGCCACAAAGATTGAACATGTCTCGCAGACACACCATTACATTTTTAAGTGACCCATTACATTCCTGTAAATGATTTGAAAGTAGTCAATGCAGTGTCTACTACACATCTCTCGAAAGAGGCCATGTTGGCAGTGGTGAAGACACAAACGGTTGCTCCCTGGTTTCTCTAAATGGTCATCACCTTTGAAGTCTTTCCATGTTTTTATTCTTTGTTTCTTACAAAAATGGTGCCCGAAAGAATTTTAATTGCTGCTCAGGATCTCACAATTGCTGGCATTAGGGAAACCTAAGCAGGTCTCATTGTCCTGAAACATAAAGGGGACAGCGAGGGGGATGGCTTGTTGCAGAGCCTCAGTTAAAGTTCCTTTGCTAATGAAAGTCTGGTTGTGTGAGTGTGTGCTCCATGATATGAGTGTGTGGGGAGCAACTTGGTCCTTTCTATGAACCGTGAGAGGAGACTATAAGGGGGGCTCATTACAGACAAGAGGATGTAGGGATAAAACAGTTTAGGCATCTTGCCAGAACTTGGGGAGACTGGATACAGGCTCTTTTGAAAGAATGCAGATCTTATGTAACACCGCTTTTGTAAGGATCCCCTTGTGAACAGCATTGCAGTCACATTCTTGGAACCTCAAGAAAACCAGGCACTGAGGGAAATAAAGAAACTCACTTTCCCATGAAGCACTTGGGCACAATGCTGAGCTTCCTGCGTCGATCTTTAATCAGGTGGCGACTCTTGGTCATCATCATGTGGTAGAGCTTCTCCCCCTTCGCTGCAATCATCACGTAGGCGTCCCGCTCCATTCCCAGTTTGAGACCTACGAACAAAAGAGAAAAAACTGTCAGATTCCCGTCAATGGAATAAGACTTTTCTATAATAAAAGGAAGATGAATCACAATGGCAAAACAAATACAGCAGACCCATTACTGGAAACAAATGTCCAATTGGTTTTAGCGGCTTTCTTCACGTGCCAAAGCCAAAAGGCAAAGGCTGTCATGGTTCTGTTAAAACAGACAAACGGGCCCTTCTCCTGGGTGTGTTCTGGTATTGTGCAGATGAAATGAAGCCAGGACCAAAGCACTGCAGCTCGGGTCCGCTTCAACCTCCTGAAACAAACCCAGATGTTTATCTCTCCTAGACGAGTTGTTTCATGGAGTGAGTAGAGTTCAGGAGGGCAGTGTGATCCTGATCTTGTTTCTGGGCTAGTTTGTTGACTATTATTTCTCTATTGTAAAGCAGAACATGTGAGGGCCCATTGTAAGGCCCGATGCCCCGATAAAACCTCTCCAGTGAGTTCACAGTTTGAGCTGCTTAAGCTCACCGTGGGGTTTGATGAACTTCTGAAACACACTGAGACTTTCTGACTGGGGCATCTAACTCTGCTGCACTGCGCCTTCATAAGCTGCTTAACTCTACTGAGAGACACATCAAGCTGCTGAATGCGACTAAAAGGTATTCACCCATTTAGTGCCGCTTCTCCTTCAGGGATAGGAAATAATACATTGTGGTTGATTCCAATTCCATTATTGACGTTTCGTATCGGTCAATTTGTTGTTGTAATAGTCATCATTTTTCGTAAAATGTGGCCGTACCCTGGATCGATTTTCCTTGCCAATGAGTTTTTGCAGGTAGATTTGCACATTTGTCAGAAAAACATGACAGCTTCTGGACCTGGTTCTCAACTGGTTCTTGATTCCGCATAATAACGGCCTTGCTGGCAGTCAGCTGACATTTGGCTGAAGCCTTTGATGTGGCCTCATCTGCAAATATGATTTGAAGACACAAGGGAAATATGCCCCAACGCAAGGCATTTGATCACTTGGCCTTTTCAACATTCCCTTGAGGTTGGCTGGGTGTGTAGGACCAGAGCAAATTTTGCAATACAGTTGAAAACTAAAATGCACTGACAGAGCACAGACCTCCGCCAAGGCCAATAGTGCCTTCACATGCTCCTCAGATTGTCCTATTTCCCAATTTGGGAAGATGTTCTCTCAACTTCGGTGTGTTCATGAGAATTGTATAATGTTTTTAAAAAGTTGATATATACGTTTCCGAGTTGTTGTACCATTTTGAGGGGCCTTTCGTGTGAATTATCCTAGGTGGAAACACATTTTTAACATCATCTCCAACCTACATGAATCCAAACCTAGCAATACTAATGGAAGTGAAACAGCTATATCCACCTTGTAATAAGTTATTCATGACCCATGCTACACCCTTACACCAGGTTTTAATAATTTTTACACAATCCTGCTGACAGACAGTCAAACAGACTTAGCCGAGAATATAACCTCTTTGGCAGAGGTCACACATTTCATTGGGTCTGCATTATGCAACTTTTAGCGGTTTAAGGGAGAAAGTTAAGTGACAACTCTTTTGGAAGTCTGACCAACTGAAAGGCAAAAAGAGGCGTAAAACTAACTATTGAATTCATTTTTCCCATAGGTTCTCTGGGGTTCTGCACTGGGTGATGGAGGTTGGGTTATATTACATTTGACAGCAGCTGGAGTAGACTTAAACAATGAGTGTCATTGAACAACAGACGGAGCCTGTCCAGCGCAGCAGAGGCCCCTCAGCTTCTGTTCCAGCTGTCAGAGTTTGTCTTGTGCTGCTCCTCGTCTTCCTGGCACGAGCTAATACCCTATCGCATTATCTGCCCCACGCATTTTCCCTTAAACTGCCGTGAAAACAGTGATAGGACAAAACACCTCCAGCTGGCAGTGTTGAACAATGAAAGTCTTTTAGGAGGGTTTGGGAAGAGCCACATGTCCAAGACAGGGAAGGACCACAGCGTGGAGAAAGTCATATCGAACAAGGCGTGTCAGGAGTGGAATCATGCAGAAAAAGTGGAACATATCTAGGATTTATTGAAGAAAAATACTATCATGTAGCTGTCTACACTGTAGCGAAGAGGTTGAGAGAAAGGTAAGGACAGAGTATACTGTAGAGGGGGTAATAGAAAGGAGAGTGTGGGGAAAATGGGCACTGTGACTGATCTGGCATCTGTTAGCCTCAGGTCGATTTCCGCCGGGGTTGAAACCAAACACCACAAGCTGCAGCACACTCCTCCGTACGTACTTCTAACCTGAAACCCTTTTATCACAGAATCAGATGCTAGTGACGTCCAATTTACACTCAGGATGCGTTTTACATGTAAACTTAAAAAAAGTGTTGACATTGGTGATTAAATGAAGCTAAAACTCTTTTTCTTTGCTCATTTTCCGCCAAATCCCATTCTATTAGCTTTAGGGATTTTTAGCCGTCAATGCTATCAGGTGACCAGTTGTGTACCTCCCCAAATCTGGTTAAAGCCTTTCACACTGTCTAAGGCACACAACATAACAAAGACAGATGGCCACTGCTGAACAGGTGGGAACACATTTTAAGACAAAAGAGGGAAGTCGGAAAGAGCAACAAGAATATCAGTTTGCATTACTAATCTCAAATCGGTGGATGTGGCGCTGTGTAGGGCTTATTTTTGATCATCAATGAATGAAGTGTTTTTGAAATGGTGAGACTAAATACACTAGATTTTCTGCAAACTAATCCAGAGCTTTGTCATGTCAATTCATTATATGGCTTCAAAACCAACAGCTGAACATGGATACAACTGTGTTTTTAAGTCTATGCAAACACTCTTTATTCTAGGTAAAATAGATCCAAGCATGCATGACGTCATTGAGTTTCACGTTCTTTGACAAAAAGAATGCTTATCTATTTAAAGCGTTTGACAAAGATGCTGTTTTTAGCACAGTTGTTGTTTGCAAATGACTCATCACACGGAGGGATTTGATTAGACACCACAGCTGCATTGATTTTTTTTAAAGGGAAGAGATTGTTGAAGCAGCAGCCTCTGCTTAGTGCACAGGTCAACTGTAGACGTCATGTCACCTAAGCCTCTGTTTATGAAACACAGCGTGTTCAAGGTGGGACATAACCAAAAGGACACAAACACTACATCCAGGTCTTCAGCACACACTGTTTACTGTGGGAGAGCTAACTGAGCCTGTATAGGTTTTGAATATAAGGTGACACTAACATGTAGGGCAGATGGAGTGGCTAGTAAAGTGTTGGATAGTGAGGATTAGAAAGCACTATGTATTTGGTTAGTAGTAGGTGTTTTTTAGCTTGTAAATGTTTTTGTATAATACATGAATTTAAGCCAATAAACTAGATGTGTTAGTAACATATATTGAAAATACTTTCTGTTTAGTGTCTATGGCCCTATTCTAAAGCTTCGGAGAGCTTATCAGGGTGTCCCATTTCACATATCTCCATTCTGTCTTATGGTAAATGGAAAATAGACTTCATTTATACAGTCTTACGACTCCTAAAGGGCTTTTTATATACACAAGTCTGCATTTATGCAATTGCCCTGCTGCCATACAAGGTGCCACCTGCTCAGGGAAGCTAACATACACACACATTCACACACTGTTGGGAGCCCAAGGATACATCTAAATGTTAACTGCAGGGGCTGTAATTGAACCCACAACCTTCCCATTGTAATGACCAGTGTGGCCTTATGATTGCACTTGTATATTTTTTGTATAAAGTAAATGGAATTTAATACGCAGTTGCCAGTTTATTCAGGGTTCTAACAGAATAGGGAGGTAAGTAGACATTTTGAGATATTTTTTAAATGTTAATCAGTATGAAATTAAAGACTAACTTTACAATAACCACAATAAAGGACAACATAGGACAAATGGTCCCAGGCTGGATTTGAACCCGGGTCCTCCGCATAGGGACCAAACCCCAGCCCCAGGGCCCGCTTGCTTTTCACAAATATGAATTCCATTATTAGTTCCCATTATTACACTAGGCTGAAACTAATGCATCCTAAGACAACAGCCCTTCAACACAACATAAAAAAAGATTTTTTGAGATACTGTAAATCAGGGCTATTCAATTGGCGGCCCGCGGGCCAAATCCGGCCCCGGGGTGATATTTACTGGCCCTTTGAGTATAATGTTAAAAAGTCATCAATTTTTTTTTTAAGATTTTTTTTTTCTTTTTTGTGCCATAGTGCCTTTATTCCAGAGAGGGTGTTACATTGAGAGATAGAGGGGTAGACAATGCCTGAAAACTTCGACGGGCTCGGGTTTCGAACCCACCTACTATACTGTAGTGACAACTCCTGTCATTGATTGCATCTCTGCGTGAATGATTAGATCATTTCACCTAAATGAAATCAAATGAAACATGTAGGCCTACTGAGTTCTGAACTTGCCATTTAGATCTATAAAGGCCTTGGGGCTATGTTGTTTGATTGAATTAAACACAATATATGCACTCCACTATGCTGTTGTAGTATTTACTGTATCTGAAGCTCTTAAATATGATTGCTCATATTTCAAGCCATCTTTTTCCCGGCCCCTTGCTTTGGATCATTTTCATCAACCGGCCCCCATTCCAAACTAATTGAATAGCCCTGCTGTAAATAATACCCGTTAGTTCCACTGTAAAATATGGTTGCTAAGTACTATTGGAAAGCCACTACATCCTCCATTAGGGGAACTCTGGTACAAAATAAGGACCATTCTCTGGTTTGCGCCATCAGAGCCATAAACCAGAAGCACCATAAATTGCCTTTAAAAAAAAGTGTTACTCACTCTCTCTCTGCTCCCGTTCTCTCAAGATGGCATCCAGCCACTTCTGCTTGTCTTCTGCATTTTTGGCCATGCAGACAAACCACTTGTTTTTCGCAGTGTTGTGGATCTTCCAGCCGTTAGTCACCGTGTAGTTGTTGCTGTGATAGTCCGCTGCAAAGAAAATAAAAAACCAATCAAGTAATTTGTCTTGAAAATGGGACAGGAGTCATCATGTAAAACATTTGAAGTCTTGAATGGCCCTTAAACAAGCAAACAGTTCACCTCATTAAAATAACATGCACTTAAATGATCTCACTTGTTCACAGATTTTGACTGAGCTTGTTTTTTCCCCCCTAAGCATTTCATTTTGAAAGAATGACACAAAAACCACAGCACTATGTCAACGCTGACCTCAGTGGTAAGTAAAGTGAAGCAATCGGTAAAGTAATCAAATGAATCTTGTTAATATTGAAGTTATCTCCAAATAGGACTCGAGCAATGATTTACAAACCAATTAATGAGATAAACATGATGCACCGGGAGAGCAGTAAAAGACCCTGTTACCACTGACTCTGCAAAATCTCTCCTCGTACCCGCTTTCTAATTTTATTATCCATTTAGCTGCAGGTGAGCAGCTCCTGAATAATGAATGGTGGCTGGTAATGGGGTGCATTAGTCTTTCACGCTCAAAGGTCATATAAATAGATCTGATACTCTGAGACCCACAGGGAGCAGCTCCTGCTGAGGAGGGAGAGGAGGGAAGAACATTATCTTTGAAGCAAATGGAACGGAAAAGTTGGATTTTGGTCAAATGTTGTTTGAGTACATGCTGATATCTTGCAAGGAGGCATTTATCAAGGCAACAAGGTGTATAAGTAAAAGGGAGGATGTTTTTAATGCTTTAACCAACAGATTGCTATTTGAGATAACTTCTTTATTTTTATTTTTGGGGTCTTCCCTTTCCTGTAGTGTGTCAATTGCTGTGCATGTAAATGTTCTGCAATGGCTCAAATCCCAAAGTTCCCTCCAAAGGGGGGTTTCTCTTTCCCCCTGCCTGAAATGCCTCTATTCAAGTCCTTATTTTACTTCCGTAACATAATGACATCACTATGTAACACTCACACTTTTATTGGCTATCTCTCAAAGACATCTCTAATTGGTTGACCAATCACAACAGAGCCAGACAGCTAACCAATCAGAGCAGACTGGGCTCTGGTTTCAGACAGAGGGTGAAAAGAGGTGCTGCAGCAGAGGCAGTATGAGAGAAATAAAGAGCTTTTTGAACATTAAAGCATGGAGACATGTCACAGTAGAGACACAGAATACAAATATGTACCTGAGAGTGAACATCATATGTCCCCTTTAAGTTAGCAAGCTTTAAACAAATAACCCCTCACACATTTCACAGTATTTAGGCGTTCAGAAATGTAAGCGTTCTCAATGTTCTGCGAATAAGGCATGTTTTTCTTTGTGGTTTCCCCTACAGAAGCCTAAATGTGACAGCTAGCACCACACACGTAGAGAAAAAAGGTCATGTGAGCTTGCAACATCTTTTGCCAGCACTGACAAGAACAACAAAAAAGAGGAAACATGTGAGAGAGAGGAAGATGAAGTGTTTCTATTGAGCCCAGCACAGTGCCTCGCAACACACCACAATAGCAAAATAAGCCGGGACAACAGTATAACAACAAGCCCACAGAAGAGTTGTTTATCTTTGGCACAATAACCCCACATTGGAGCGCATCAGGTTCATCTTCTGGCTCGGGGTTGCTTTTGCACTACAGATCTGTATCAACACCTCAAGCCATTACTGAATAGCTGACATCAAAAGGTGGTACCGTACACGAGGTTGCAAGCTACATCCTGTTTGAAACTAGGTGCAAGTATGATACTCCACCCAAACTGTCAACAAGTACCTGATTCATATCCAAGCAGGGCTTTCTAAATGGCAGAGTGTGAAAAAGAAAAATAGCCCTGTAGGCAAATTGAATTGGGGTTGTTACTATGTATGCACAATGTCAGTTTGTGCAACCTGTGATATCAGTGAACTACATAAAAAGATTGGTTAAGATCTGAGTATTTGGGACAGGCATATGAAATTCTAATTTACTTAAAGATTAAAGATGTCAAAATAGAGGTGACATTTAAAGAATGTAGTCCAATTCTCAAAAAGAAATTGAAATGTGGACAATAAAGTTGCACAACCTTTGAGAACAAAGTCAAAATGTTGATATTAAATTGAAAAATTGCAAGAATTACATCGAAATGTTGTGAATACATTCTCAATATTGTTTAAAAAATAGTATAAAAATGACGAGAATAAAGTAGAAATGTTAAAAAAAAACATGTTGAGGCTTAACGTGAAATGTTGGGAACGAAGTCAAACTGTAGTTAAAAATAAGGCAAAAAATGAAGAAAACACATCAAACTTAAACCATTAGTGCATACACCTAGAATTCTACTTTATTCTCGACATTTTGCCTTTGCAAATAAAATAAAGACATTCCTGGTCTTATTTTTCCCATTTTGCTGATACTCTCTTATATATACTAACCAGAGGCTCATTAGAAATCACCAACATGCCCTGGGAGAGTTTCATGAATGGACATATAGACAGTCTCCAAAGGTAACACTAAAGGGCAAACACCAACCTGTTCCATCTTCCACATTTTCCACCTCCATCACCTCGGTGTTGATTCGGCCTCTGAACACATAGAGGGGCCCGTTGATAGACTTGGTCCTCTTGGTGGACTTCTTTCCAGAAACCCTAGAAAATGGGACAACACTGTGGTTACACTCTGCAGGGAAAACATCCGCTGTTTCTGGTGCAACCGTGAGACAAGAACTTGTGTCTTTAACAAATGTACATTCATTTAGAGACATGTATGGGAGCAGCAGACACATGTTGTTGTTTCTGTTTTGCTTGCATACTGAAAACCTGTCTGTACAAACAGGAATTTGCTGCAATTTTCCATGTCTGGCTTTTTTCCAGTAGTCAGCCAATACAAATATATTTGAATGCTTTCTTTGACATGCACTTGTAGAAGCTTCAGTGTAGTTGGGTAACGGTCGCCTTCCTCACCTGGACTTCCTCTTACAGTAAACCAAAAGGTTGTCGAACAGGAAGAAGACGCGTTCCTGGATATTGCCCGCTGAGATTTTAAGGAGATTTCCATGAAGCAGCAACTCTGTGCAGATATCTGTCAGGTTGGTGCCCTGAAGAAAAAGATAAAAAAGTAGTTAGCTACTGACATTTGTACTGTAACAACATTAAAAGTTTACAAAACTTTGCAGTTATATCCATCAAGGCCATGGTGTCAAGTTTATCTTTTTTTGATCAAGGAAATAGCACTACATTTGGAAGTTGCAAAGATAACAATTCTGTCTGTATCAAAACTTGATAAGTTCACAACCTCAGCGAAACAATGCGAAATTCAACGCTGACATTGTGAACGTCTTGTTTTCATTCCAATGTCAATGATAGGAAATAGTAAACAAATCTGTTCCTCACGCAACTTCAATTTTTGCGAGACGGAGAACTAAGTACATTTACTCAATAACCGCACTTAAGTATTATTTTGACATAGCCGTACTTTACTGGAGGGTTTCCATTTAATGCTACTTTATAATTCCGCCTGAGTCAAATATTGTACTTTTGATTCCCCTACATTCACTTTTCTTAATTATGAATGCACTACTTTAAAAGGGGGCTATGTTATGCTAATTTGCAGGTTTATATTAGTATTTTGTGCCTGTACTGTGACATGTTTCCATGCTTTAATGTTCAAAATTATTTGGAATTTCGGCCTTTGCAGACCATTTACATGCACACAAACATACTACAGGAAATGGCAAACCCCAAAAAGCACAATAGGGCCTCTTTAAGTAAAGAATCTGAGTACCTCTTCTTCAGTTTACACCCAATGCAAATCTGCAAATAGAAAACAACTGCTGGGACAGTTAGCATCTCGCTGGTGCATCACTGTCTAGAAACATCAAGTTGAAATAACCGATAGAGAGAGTTTCTCCTACATTACTGCAGTGTCTTGAACTTGACTTTTTAGCTTATTTATAATGTGTTAGTTAATTAGATGCACAAAGTTATTGCCTCGGAAATCTGTTACCATGGCCTACTTTTAGTTTCCTGTGGAGCGCTAAAACAAACAAAGCCTTTTTATTCTCTTCTCAGGATGTGAAAGCACTACAAACACATGCCTGCATCCTCACATATACAAATACAACTGTTGCATAGAGGAACCGTGCAGCAAACCTAAATAAAAAGCTTCAAAGTCAGTCAAAGTGGAAATGTAGAATGTGTGATATTAAAGAGTAGCCCACTCCCTTGTTCTTACACAGGAACAGGCATTATGTTACTCTGCAGCCTACCTACCACCTTCACAGGATGTGATCGAGCCTTTCTTTAAAGCCGTTTCTCGTCAGCTATTGAATACACCCCAACCGGTTAAGACCAAAATAACCTTTCGAAGCAGCATGAGGCAAACCACAAACGCTGGTGTTTCACAGTCAACACCATGGACTGCAACCGCTTCAACAAGTACAATGTTTGCCTGTTCAACATTTATTTAATGATGCATTTACTGTATTTAAATGTCAAATGACTGTACGTTTAGATGTCTAGATGCACTAATGATCAACAATTGAGAGGTGTATGAGTACCTCCTTGCTGATTTGTTTGGTGTTACTGGATTTTAGAGGATTACAATTTTGAGTGATTAATGAACCGGTCGTAGTAAATGAGGTTGTTGACGCCAATCTGGAACTGATTGAAAAAAGCTTTGTTGATCGACCCTAGCGTGGTGTAATATTAAAGGGGCTCCATTATGCTAATGTGTACGTTCATGTTTGTTTTTTCTCCTTCTACTGGGTTTACATGCTTAAACGTTCAAAAGGGTCTTTATTTTTCTCCTAATAAAGTCCAGTCTGCTCCGATTGGTTAGCTGGCCGGCTCGGTTGTGATTGGTCAACCGCTTAGAGATGTCTCGCCCCTGAGCCTATCACAAACATTGTGTTGGAGCACTAACCAATAGAAACACAAATGTTACATAGTGATGTCAACATGTTACAAAAGTAAACAAAGTCCATACGACACGTTTCAGGTAGCGGGGGAGTCTGTGGGAGACATTCTACTTTCACAAAAACATGTGTAAACACTATAGGAAAGGGAAAACCCCCCAAAGCATAATAAAGCCTATTTAACCTTATCACTAAGTGGCTAAACTTCAGGACCAATACCTACAATTATTAAGGCAACAATCATTTTGGAAGAATTTCAATGTTTTCACATTTCCATCTAGGGAACAGAAACCGCTCTACAGATATACACATGGGCAACCATGCACTCACATGTTCCGTTTCGATTTGTGATTAATGGATGAAAGTATTTCCTATTGTAAAAATGTGAAACAACCATAGAAATATTCAATGGACTTCAATTTAAAATGTACAACCTCATAGAGTCCATAGAAGGTATAAGTGCTGCACGTTGAAGCTGTCAAAACAGCGCTAGCCAAACATAAAATAGAACAATTGGGGGTAAAGACATCTCATTACTCATTGTGAAACGCATCATTTCCCTCCAAATCATCTGGAACTAAATGCACCCATGTGCAGGCTCTAAACACCCCCCCCCGTTGGCTTATAGAGAGCCCACCACCCCTCACCACACACCCCCCACACACACACACAGATAGATCAGATGTAGACTTCACTGTTGTCTTTGATCTATCTGACATGGGTCCACCGGAGACCTGTGGAAACCCCCTGCTGCCCACCCCCACTCTCAAGCGTCCATAATTGATTCCCATGAGTATATATTTATGATGGATGTTCATCCCTCCTGAGTTTGTTGAGAGAGAAAAAAGAAATCAGAGGTTTTCCTTAAGGTGAATACCGACCGGTCTGGGGAGGGGTCGTGTTTCAGACAATCGATTCGACCTCATGTTAACTGCACTAACCTGAGGTTGGGGGGTTGGAAACCTTTACCTATTGTCATGTGCATGCATGTCTATGCTTTCCTGCATTTATAATGTATATGGAAGCGTACAACACACAGTGGTGGTGTATGTACGTGAGTGTATCTGAGCAGCGGTAATGCGCCTGGGTCTGATTCGGCACTTCTGGCGGACTCTTCCATTAGAGCTGGAGGTGATTAGCCCACAGAGTGGCTGGAGAGAGGAAAGAGGAGCGAGACTAATGCTGTAATATTGAAGGCTCTCTGGGGGGGAGGGGGTGAAGTGCCTTTTTGAGTTGTTCAGAGGAAGAGCACTGAAATTGCCTGTCTTGGACCACAAAAAATGACTAATGTTTTCAACTGAATGCATCAGTTTTTCAAATGAAAAGTTGGATTTTAGCAGTGATGTAATGCCAGTGACTCATTTGACTTCAACAATCATTCATGTTCAATCAATAAAGGTAAATCAGCCCAACATTAACCCCATTACCGATCTGAAAGTGACGATACTAGGTGCTTTGGGATAGCATCTTACAATTATTTCCACTTAAACAGCTTTGTGTATAAAATAATGGGAATTAGTCAGAATGATACAAATGATGTCTTCAAATTCATTGTTTAACTAGAAGGGCACTTGATAGCTTTGCTAAATATATAGTGTAGATTTCAAACTAATTAATTATTTCTCTAAACCTTTTGCTATGATTAGTTCATCACTTCACCAATACTTGCTGAGATCTTGAGATATATATATATATATATATATACATAAAATACAAATTGGGGGACATCACAGTGGCTAAAGCACACATCGTGGACTAGAATAAAACCGATAATATATTATTCATCACAAGATGGACCAGGATATATTCTGCATTTACTTTCACTGCCAAACTAAACACCCAAATATCAGGGTCATTTTTCTGAGGGAAAGGGAGAACACGGGTACATTCTAGCATGCGAGTTGTGGGATGTCTCAGTGGGGCCCACTCTGTGGTTCCATCCTTCATTTTTCTTCCTCTGCCCCCTCCAAAAAGGTCCCCTCATATAACCCTCCCAATGCATGTGAGAGTGCAGCTCTGCTTCCTAGGGTCCTTTCTGATTGGGCAGTGTGCCTGTTGGCATCCCCCCCTGGCACCCTGAGTGGGAGGATTGTCCCATTGGTGCCTGCTTAGACAAGGCCTCTGTTGTGGTGGTTGAGGGAGGCGTGAAAAATGCACTGGACCCTTCGTTCGGCTCCCAAGCCCCGTCCGTGGCCCCTATTTGGCTGCAGTAGTAACTCTTAAGATAGATGGTGGAAGTCTTTCTAGAATAAATCTGGATGAGGTTGCAGTGGTTTTGTCACAGGATTGTTTCATTTGTCAGAAACCTTGTGCAAATAACACATATTCAGGATGCTCTCAGAAAAGTAGGACCTTCTTTCCTTACTCTCTGAATGTCAGAGCACTTCATCTAGCCATTTGGTCTCCATCTTGCACCTCTCAAGGTTTCACCTCTCAATCTTTTATCCTAATGTAAAGATATACTTCACCCTAAAACAATCATAATCTGTATATCAACTATTGCTGCCTTTCATTTAAGAATAAAACCTTTTTTGAATGCATGCATTTATTGTAGGGCAGGGCAATATATAGCATATCATATGTTAATGCATTCTTCCAGTATAGTTGTATGGCATAAGTGTTGGCATTTCCTGGTTTTAAAAACGGCACTAGTCAATTGATGCAATTCTCTGAAAGCGACTGTTTTAGCTGATCTATTATTTGGTTTTACAATGGTCAACCCTACAGTAGTTTTGTGATAATGAGGTTTTCGCGCAAAAAATGATATTGTCTTTTAATATTTTCTTAAATTCACCAAGCTATAATCCACAGTGAACAAAGATTTAAACAACTGTAAAAAGCCTAAAGGAATATGTTTGAAAACATCAGTTTATAAACTCTCACACAGGTTGTGCAGTATAATCCACATCCCAAATTCTCTTTCCCGAAAACATACATTTCCTGAAAAAAAATGTGTACTTTTTAAAACACTTCCGCATGACCAGAACTCAAATTGGTGAGTAGCATGTTTGAAAAACGGGACTGGGGTTATACTGTCCGAGTTGAATGCCACGCATATTTTTCGGCATATGACCCTCTTTACGACTACTCTCTGTCTTTGACCTGCTTGCTCTCACCTCCCAGCCCTCGATGTGGGACTGCAGCTGTTCCAGAGCCTCCAGTTTCTCCATTTGCCTCTTGGTCTCATTGATGTTGGAGCAGACGGCCTTCATGGCCTGCAGAGCTTCCTCCACTGCCGGATAGTCAGCGTGCTTCTTAGGGGTCCGCTTTAGAAGCTCCTAGTGATGAAAAGGGGAACGTTTTCAAACAAAAGCTGTAGAATGTCCAAAAGGAAGCAAATAAAAAAACACTTATATGGTTATAGAGTATTCTGTGACCTTTAATGGCGAGAGGCTTTTATACACAGGCCTTGTACCAGCTACACTCACAGTCAAAATTCCTAAAACCCAGATTGGAGAAAGTTTTTACTGACAATATAAAGTACGGTAATGGTATCTAAGGATACATTATGATTTGCGCTGTGGCCATGTAATGTAAAAGTCTAAGCAGGCTTTAATCAAAGCTGTTATCATTTGATGACAGCATCAGAACATCAGTGCAGCAGTTTTGACAGTACCTTCAACAGCAGAGGATACTTGCAGATCCTCTGAATGGGGCTGAGCAGGTAGCCCTCCAGGGGGACATCTGTGCTCTTCTTCCCACCCAGTAGCATACAGTGCTATAGAAGAAGAGCGAACAAACACAATTAGACATTTCTTAAAAATACATGGTAAGGTTTATATTTATTTTAAGGGAAATAATTAATTGCAATTGAAATGCAGAAAAGGTTGAACAATAAAAAATGTAAACCCCCAAAAACCCAAATGGAACAGATATCAGAAATTGCACATCATTAAACATGAACAACATTAAAAAAGCTTGTGTGCAAAACTCTATTTATAGAAGAATGGCTAATCATTGGAAAATAAATAGGTATTGTTCTTTTATCTAGCACCGCACCACAACACCAGTCTATTTCGGTGCATCTCACAACTGTCTTCATTGCCGTCTCAGGCCTCTTGGGTTTTTCAGCAATAAACAGACTTTAATTGACCACTGTTGTCATTTCTATCCAGTCACAGTCTATTGCACCTGAAGCAGATCTATAACCGGTCCAGGTGCAGAATATTAATAATCTGTCAAGGTTTGTCTGGGGGCTAGTTAATAAAGCTATATGCAGAGGATACCATGCTCTCCATACTCACATGCCATTTTGTAGGAACTTCTTTAATGAGGCTAAAATGGCATTTGTGTATTTTAGGAATAATTATCAAGTATGGCTTTAGTTGTTTAGTCATTGTTTACATTTAGCAGTTTTAACATTATATTACAGGATAGATAACTGTTTCAATTTCTATTTATTTATGACTTTAAATGTCTCTTGATTGTGACACAACCTTGATTTCTGAAGCTTTATCAGCAATGACCACATCCCGTCACCAAAGCTTTATTTTTGAAAAGTCTATATTGTATGATAATAGTACTTTCTGGTTTGTTTTAGCCACATTTTAAGATTGACGGTGTGTCCTGTTTTTATCTCAGTATCAGATGTTGGTAGCACGTACTGTATATAAACCAAAATATAGTTGACTTCATGCTTCTCTTACAGCAAAGCAAACATCAGGAGATTCAAAAAAGACTTAAGTGTCTCTTTTAAGCAGTGGGGGAATAAACTAAGTACATTTGACTCAAGTACTGTATAGGCAAGTACAATTTTGAGGTTCTTGTACTTTAGTTGAGTGTTTCCATGTTATGCTAATTTCTACCTCTACTACAATATATAATAGTGTTAATTATTTGATCACTTATTATAATCAAGTGCTATAATGCTTATTAATTGGAAAATGTCCTTTAAGTTTTGGTACTTCAAGTTTATTCAGTTATTAATACTTTGGTGCTTTTACTTATTGAATGCAGGACTTGTAATTGTTACAGAGTATTTCTACACTGTTGTATTACTTATTGTTAAGTTAAATATCTAAGTTCTTCTTCCTACACTGCTTTGTTGTTTAGACACACAACTGTCTGCAACTATACCGCCTAAAAAAATTAAAAACATATCCACGCTTCTACGCTAAAAAGGATCACTGAGAAACCTCCAAAATGTTTTCTCATGCCCCAGAAGATTTGGGCTTTAAAAAAACCAGTTAAAAGGAGGGGGGGGGGGGGGTTACAGTTACAGTCATGGTTTCTCCTCGCTTTATATTTTGCAGGAACGCAGTCTGTCAGTGTGCTATGAGCTCATGGGATGGGATGAAAGATCAAACGCAGTCGTGCAGATAAACCACTTGAGTGTTCTCCAGAGAGAGAGATCACTTTAGAGCCTTATAATCATACGGCAATTCCTCAGTATGGTGTATGGTGTGGGGGGGGGGGGGGGGGGGGGGGGGTTTCTGATGGGAAAACACGAAGCAGCAATGCATCTGATTGTGACTGCAGGACTGTAGGTTCCACAGATTCCTAATGCACTGATGTGTTTTGTTCCCGACCCCCCTTTTCTCTCCCTTTTCTATCTAAATCTTCACCCGCCTTCTTCCTTCTCATCTTCTGCTTATTTGTAATCTGCCAGCCTTAAGCCAGAATTCCCTCCGCTCTTCACTTTGACCTCCTTCTCCTTCTTCTTCTTCACTTTTCTATTCCGGAGCAATTAAGCACTTCATTTCTACATACAATTTCAGAAGATCCCTTCAATGTGTATTTCAACTAGCATTAAAATGGTTTAATGCAGAAAAAAGAAATCCACTGGAATTAAAAACACAGCAGAAATGAAGCCAAAGAAAATATAATGTACTCTACAGTTAATTGCTCTGACATTGATTTGCAATTGTTACCACTTCATTCTCTGCTGTTCTGCAGAAGAAACACATATTCTCTATGTCTACTTCTTTTCTTAAATGATAGTGAATCACTTGTTTATATTCTGCTCACGGTTGCTACCCAAAGCTCACGGTTGCTACCCAGAGCATAAGAGCTGATCCAACATTTGAGATTGTCGGACAGCCATTTTCACACATCACCAGCTGTTTGTAGTTTTTTTGGAAACATCAATGCAAGACTTTTCCAATTAACCACTGCATGACTGGGCCAGAGGGACAAAAAGCCAACGCACACAGCTCTGATCCCGCCGCTTCCTGTCTTGTGGGTCAGAATAATGCCGTGGAAGCAAGCCATCAGGCAGCGACAAACGCAAGGGCTTCAGATCTCACGGCCAATCCCGATCAGGCTGCCAACACTCCACAGCTGGCTGGCTCAGAGGCTGCACATGATTTCATTGGGTTCGCTCCCCCCCCCCCCGCCCAAAAAGGCCCTGTCCACATTTTAAGTCTATTGTCCTGGACCCAAAGGTCTGGGTGTCAAAAACACAGGAAAAGCTGGCAGCGGAAACACTACAAGAGCGACACAAAAGTGACCTTGATGGTGGCATCCTGTCCGGAGCAGGAAGAACCCTCCGACCTTGTTATGGTTTGTGCACTTTATTCAAGCGTTAACATGGAAATGGAGGTGATAAAATGGAAGGAAACATGGGGAGGGGGATGGATAAATGACAGAAAAATAAATCCGAATGAGGGGGAAAAGTCGGGCAAAGGCACCAGAAAAAAGGTTTGTGCAATGAAATCTGTAATAATGAAACCAAGGAGATTTGACACATAATGAGGAGAGAAGTAAGAGTTGCCAGAGGAAGGAAGCTAATAAAAAAAGGAAGAAGAAAGACATATGAGAAGCAATGAGGAGAAAGGCAAGATAAGCAGGGCAGGGGGAGGAGCTGAGAGGACTTACCAGCAGGAAGGTCCTGATGTTGGGGATTTTGTTGAGCTCCATGAGGAGTCGCAAAGCCTTCTCGTGGTTACTGCAGTACTCGCCGTACACTGAGAAACTCTTCCTCTGCAAAACAGGAGGAAAACAGAGGTGAGGACGGCAGACATGGGACTTTATATCATACTTTAATGGCTGGTTGCAGCATTAAGAAATCCACTGAGAAAAGTGAAAGAGGGAACAATCAGATAACAGAGCAGAAAATGAGAAGAAAGCTCCAGTTACTCAAATCTGATGAGATTTGGTTGTGCTATTTCAAGTAGAGCAATGGATAGTAGAAGCAACTAGGGGTGTAACCACGGGTGTACCTCATGAATTTCTTCAAAATACCATATCGTGCTTTTTGGACAAAGATATAATATTTGCTGATATTGCAAAGTCTGCCATAATATTATTTCGTTTTGATTAAATTCAGGCATCTGCGATCAATTTGAGACATCATATGCCCATTCAAGGCAATAAGTGACATTCATAACAATTCACAAAAAGCTCAAAGTTAAAAGTATGATTTGTAAATTATGGCAGACTTTTCCTAGAAATAAAATATATAGATTTTTAATAAAAACTAAAACAGACCTCCTGTTGTTCACTATAAAGTGCAACATTTCTAATGTTCAAACACAGTTTTAAATGTTTAAACTTGCAATTGGGTATTTCAAAATATGATTTCCCTTTGCATCGATGATATAGGATTGATGATCATTGAATTTATGCTTCGACACATGCAGTTGCTGTTACAATATTTGCCATGTCAGGCAATGATGGTGAAGTGTAACTGTAACAATGATTAGACCAAATGATTGAGAGTATATGGACATATGGCTATGCAGCAGTGTTCATTAACACATTTGCCACACTTCTCTTTTTCAAAAAACATCATAATGTGAAAAAAAATGGCATGCCAACACAACACACTTCCCTTTTCTTAGATGACAGCCTCACACTGTGCAACATTACAAAACAACCACAGCGCTCATGTAGAAGTTATTGTCGAGCTGCCATTTGGTTTTCTTTACAATACGTAACGCGAGACCAAACAAGTGAACACTCTATAGTTTAAAATGCATTATTCATGCAGCATACTGTTGACAAGAGCGTATACACGGATCAGGGCCACAGGTGAATTTACAGCCTGAAGCTTATCGGGTGTGTTGTTAACTATGCAACAGTAATTAGGATGTGAAACTGTGAGCCAATGAGGCCTTGAGCTTGAGGTCTATAAACTGAAACTGTCATCTGAAACAGCCTAGCAAGTGAAATCCAAAACCCCAGGTGCTCGAACGGACACCGCTTTCAAGCCTTATTCGCTACAGCTCGAAGGGTTTGCATTTAATTCCAGCTTGGCAATAAAGCTAAAGGAATAATAATGGGTGCACAATTAATCGTAATTTGATCAAAATCGAAATATGGACTAGTACAAAAATGTAGTTGACGGGTAAATAAGTCAAAATGTTCACAAAAACAAGTCCAGGCCTACAAACTGTTCTCAGACTTAAAATATATCATGTTTGGTACATATACTCTTCAACAAAAAAAAAATCACTTTATGATTATTTTAAAATGGTTTTAATGATAATGTGAATCATGATTTGTTAGAATCAGAACCCAAAATACTTTAATTAGACGGGGGAAATGTGGGTTTTGTAACATACAGCTTCAAAAATATCTTTGACAACCCCTTTAAAAATACAACAGTTTACCAAGCCAGCATCCTGTTCAGGCGTAGGTGTGCAAAAGGATCGTGTGTTGTTTTACCATCACACACCACACGCAAGCTTACAGCTGCATACACTGTGTGTGCATGTGTCTGACATGGAAACCCAGTGGTGGTGACTGGAGCAGCCAAACAAAGCTAACAGCTCTTTTTATAGATCTGCGTGTCTCTGCTAAGTCCTAGTGCTTGACCAGAAGGAGCTGAAAATCTTTTGTGGATGTGAAACACACAAGTGAGCTGCACAATATAAACATTGGGCAGTTTTGACCACACAGGCAGGCGGGAACCCAAACACGCCCAAAGCCACGTTTGGCAGGGGATTCCAGTCCCAGAAAACACCGCTGGGAGCAACAGCTGGGCCGGCATATGGCGTGAAACCCCAGATACTGTCAGACTCGGTTAATGCACAGCTAGAGGATACAGCACAGGGGCTTGTAAACGTACATGTACCAATTTAGTCTATTTGTTCATGTGTACATGTTAAATATGTAGCACTGACAATGGCAGAAGCATATAAATATGGCACATCATTAGGGAAAAGGACTATACTGGTGTTTCTAAATGATTCTACCCAAAATTCTAAAATAATCTACCATATATATATAATATTACATGTTACTTGTTAGACGCTTTTATCCAAAGTGATTTACTTACTCAATACTGTGGGCAATCCCCACAGGAGCAATTTGGGGTGAAGTGTCTTGCCCAGGGACACAACGACATGCTGACTGCAGTGGGGTTTGAACCTGTGACCCCCTGATCCGAACACCAACGCACAATTCACTGCACCACACGCCTCCTGAATATAACATTCATTATTCCTAGCAGACAGTCTGCTTTTTGCTTATTTGGTGAAGACTTAAAATAAGAAAGGAGGTAGTATTTACAGACTCACAGTAGCAATGTCATAAAATGATGTATTGCAATAATTTGATTGTGGTGGTACTTTCCCCACCGCACAATGCACCGCTATTTTAGAGGCATCTTATTCTTTGGCAAAGTATTCTTAAAACCAGGCAGTTTGCATAAAGATTCTTAAATTAACCAAGGTTTTCTTATTTGTTAGTTAAGGACAAGATCCAAACAGTCATAGCACAATTACCCACATGTATGTGCTGAAAAGTAAAATAAAATAGTTTATTGTGTTTTCTTTTATTTGTTGAATTAAGCAACATTTTTCTATATCATTTATAATATGTTTAACTATTATTTGTATTATTTTAGAAACCATTATTGCCTAGTTTTTAATTCAAATAAATACTTTTCTTACACTTCAATTCAATGATGTTGTTGGTAACTGCCTGGGTTAATGAGGCAGTTACCAATAACATGTATCATGTTTATAGGCTATACTATATACTCTAGAGTGGCTACTCAATACGAAGCTTGTTTGGTTTTTACGTCCTGCACAACTATTGACCTGTTTTTCTCTCTTTTGAATTTAGATTGGGTCTTTTTCACCAAATGTTGTCAAATGTATTTTCAATTACGTGCGCATAGGTGATAATTAGGATCAACTGGCAGGCTTTCAATTAACAACGACAATGGAATGAATAAATAAAAGATTACAGATGCAAAGCATCGAGCACAGTTCAAAATGTGGCTGGCCAGTTGCATCAAATATGTGCATACCTTATGTCATGAAGCAAAAGGTGAATAATACAGGGCTCGTTGGAAACATTAAGTAATGCTTCATAAAGCACTTTACAGGGATGTAAATTGCACACCAAGTGTGGGGTTAAAACATGGAACAATCACTGCATTGTCCGTTAACTTATTGCTGTGGGTAGACTTAGCAACTTTAAAACTGCACTCTCCAATAGCCTGCTATTCATTAAACCACAGAGGTTAAAAGAATAAGTCTTCTGCCTGCCTGCTGTCCACAATAATTTAACCAGAAATGGCTAGCAACGACTAAAGTGAACATGCCTAGACTGTGAAGTCCAGCAGTAAACAGGAAGACATGTTTCCATGCGTCAGAGTCCCAAACAGCTTGTTGGTGTTCTTGTACATAAATTAAGCCGTTCAGTCTATATCAGAAAGACACCATCAACCCACAAACAGACTACTTTAGCACACTGAAAATTAAAGGGGCCCTATTACGCTTTTTGGGGTTCTCCCTTCCCTGTAATGTGTTATATAGCATTTTGTGCATGTAAATGGTCTGCAAACACTCAAATCCAAAAGTTCACGCCAGAGGAAACTTCTCTCCTTCGGTTTACACTTAAACACTCCTGATATGGTGGCACTTAAGTACCTCTACTTGAATTATATTAATTGCATCTCCTTTCACTATCTAGAACTGAACCCTGTTGGTCCCAGAACAGCATGCCTTTTTCAGCTATGTTTACAACTGAAGCCCACTCCAAGGTATTTCCTTCTGCTCAGGTATAAACAACTTGCTCAGTCAATTCAGGCACAACTAAATGTCTAACCAGGGGCAACATGTGAACCCTAGAGTCAATTTTAAACATCGAGTCTACTCTGGAAGACTGAAAGCCATCAGTTGTACCTAAAATAGCTCAAAGACTGGGGTTGTCCCTTAGATAAACATAAGGCTTTATTTGAATTCTTCATCATTGGAATGTTATTCCGCAGGCTAGATGAGAGGTTGGTATCACACAGAGGAATCACATAGAGTCAAAGCATAATGGGAGTAGTTCAGAAAGTGCATAATGACACGACTGTTGCTCCTCGCACAGTGCTCATGTATACACTCCCAGAAATAGAGCAAATATTGATGTCTCTGATTTCTGCTCCAACATGAGTCACTTTTTCACCTTTGCAGGGCTTGAATAATCTCATGCATGCCACGTGTGTGCGTGTGTGTGTGTGCGTGTGTGTGCGTGTGTGTGCGTGTGTGTGTGTAATTGGTCAAAGGAAATGTACTCATTCCAAATCTTTGCCCCAACTTCGTAGGAAAAATGTGTATTTGGCTAAAACTGTCCTAGATTTATTAATAGTAAAACGGGAACATCTGTATACTGTTTAACAAGCGGCATGATTTGATTCTGGTTATTTAAATGTACCTTTTTTTTTACAGCTGCTGCCTCCCAAGCCCTCTTGGCAACATTTGACTTTGAATAGCAATGAATCTTCCCATTTGTCTTCCCTGAGCGTGAGTGGCAGACCGTCTAGTGGAACAATGCGGGAGGTTAATCAAATCCAAGTCATGGTGTTGACCTCTGCTTGAGGTCAAGGGCTACGGCTGAAGGGCGCCAGACGGGGCCAACCGATTGGCTGAGACGTGTCAGTGTTGAAGGAGACAAAGGTCATGGGTTTGTAGAGGGAGATGTAATGGATACGTAGGGTAACACACTATTTACCATTTTTAAGCAGTGACTGAGCAAGTGTTTATTATTTTATAAAGTATTTTTACGATTTTTCACTTTCACGCAAATGTGCTGAAACAAATGAAAATGTAGAAACGTCTTCACCAAATTGACACCACATGCGCAATAATAAAACTATAAAAAAATAAAAAATAGAAACTCAAAATACAACGGAAAAGTTGGTGTATTTGTATTGAGATAATTTTCTACTTGCAGTATTTTGTTCAGCAGCACTTTTAGTAAACGCTGCGCATGTGTTGTCAAGTTGGTGAAGACGTTTCTTCCTTGACATCTTCATCATCACATAGAACTGAACTAAAATACTACTTAAAGTCATTATATCAATGCGACAGTGACATTAAATGGGTTTGGCTTTATTTCTATGACTCACCATCACAAAGGTTTCTTTGCTGTCATGGCAGTGAAGTTGACTTGAAATAAACGGGATTTATGAAGAGGCCTTGACTTTCCTCCTATAACATATCCACTCTGACCTCTACATCTTCCAGTCTGACCACGGTGCGAAGTGGAAAAAGAAAAGCTTGGGCTCCTCTAATCAATTCTCCATCCTGACACTCGGCCTGACGGACCGAATGACCCTCACACATGTGTGAAGGTACATTTTGATGAGCCAATTCAACAGTTATCCACAGATGTGATTAAACGTCCTTCATGCTACAGGAGGCAGTGGATGTGCTATTATTGACTGTTTCATTTTATAGGGATGGTTCAAATTGTATGTAGACTGATATTTGTGTTGGTGTAGGAGTCATTTATAATAAGCAAAACCACCTCCCCAGACAGAAATGATGTTATTTTGACCAATTCAATTGCATATTGAGTGTACATTTTTGCATGTATGCTTGTTTGTATATTAAATGTGTTTTCTATAGTAAAGCGTCTTTGAGTGCCTAAGGAACGCTAGATAAATTAACTCTGGTATCACTTATGATCTAATGCCACTGCGTTGTACTGGTCTGCTTGACTCCTCACTAGTGGCACTAGGTCATTATCTCCATTTTGAGTAGTCTGTTTTTTGCAGTGAACACTGTAGTTTTGCTGGCTGTCATTTTTTTTAAATCTGGGTCAAGTGAAGACAAACATTGCTACTGATCTTGAGGGTTTATTTGTACACAACAATAAGATTTGTATTCTGCTTCGAGAAACTAAAACGAGTGTCCCGCTGCACTGACCATTATGGCTGATGGAGCAAACTGATGGTGGGATACCTATCTGAAGTGTTGTGTGCCTCAGTGAAAGTGAATGGAAGATAGTTTATCAGAAAGGGACAAAACAGAGAGTGGAGAGAAGGAGCCTCCGATGGAGTGCTACCAGCAGAAGCATTGTCCCCTGCGCTGAGTGACACACCATCTCTTCCTCCCCGGACACAGACCCTTCTTTGTTTGTTCTCTGGGGCCAAACGAGTTCAAACAGAGGGGAGCGGAGAGGGGGGGGATTGCAGAGCGGAGAGGAATCTTTGGATGGAGGGATGGAGGGCGAAAAGAAGGAGATGGCAGAGACACAGACTGATGAAGAGAGACTCTTTTTGCCTGACAGGATGCAGGCCAGTTTGGAAAGGGGTGGAGGTAGTTTGTGAATGTGTGGGGGGGCGCGGGGGTGGGTTGTTCCATGTGAGAAAGAGAGAATTAAGAGGTATTTTCACAGCAGGCTTTGCACGCTTCTCCCTGCCTCTGTGGTTACGGGGTAGCCCATGAAAAGAGTGTGTGTGTTTTTGCATGGAAGAGGAATTCATGCATGAGTATGTGTCAATGTCCTTGTATGTCCGTGTGACAGTTTGCTGTTTTTTGTGCGTGTCATGTACTCACAAACTGCAGGAACACGTGTCCCAGTGCATGATGGGGCTGAGGTTCGGGCTGCAGACTGGCCTCAAATGCGGACAACACCTCTTTGTGCAACTCCAGGATGTCCTCAATGTTTGAAAACAGAATCTGAAAAAACGGGGGGGGATGATGTAAAGGGAGGGGAAATGGAGAAAGGAAGAGATAAAGAGGTAGGGTGGAAGGAAGAGAGAGAAAATAGCAAGGGAAGTGACCAACAGATGGACAGAGAAGACATATTTAAAGCATTATAATATCAAAAACATAATTTTAGATAGGCTTTTTAAGAGGCAATCATACCTTGACATGTTCAGGTGAGAGACACTGTTGGTCATCTGCATTTTTTCTGATTCTGTGCAAAAAGGCCTAAAGAGGAAACAAAAACAAAGCATGTTTAAGAATAAGCAATGAGATGTATTTGTCTAATAAGGCAGAGGAATAAAACTGCTATGTCAATATAGGCATGATGAGTTCTCCATTCACTTAAAGGGGCCCTATAATGCCAGGTTCATAATTGTATTGTGTGTCTCTACTGCAACATGTTTCCATGCTTTAATGTTCAAAAAGTGTTTTTATTCCCATACAGCCTGAGCCTGCTGCTCTGATTGGGTAGCTGGCCGGCTCTGTTGTACATGGTCAACCGCTCAGAGTGTTACTTTGTGATATCACTATCTCGGAAGTAAACGAAGGACTACAGTTGATTCATTTTAGGCAGGGACCTGAACTCTGGGATTTTACCTGTTGCAAACATTTACTTGGATAAAAAAAACTGTATACCACTATAGTAAAAGGAAAACCCAAAAAAGCAGAATAGGGCCCCTTTAATAACAAGACGGGGATCTATCTATCTCATACGCAAACAAACGTCACCTGGAAGTGTGGTGCAGCTTCCCTCTGCTGATCATAAATCAGTATGTATGTGCTCTTTGCTTTGAGAAAAACAATTATAGAGTAAATATAGATCCGTCACATTACTATGCATAAACACACAAGCCTTTGAGCGATAGACAGTCACATGGACTCTCACATACTTAGCGGAAAATAGACTTTCATGGCAGTAAACAAAAAATGGTCTCGCTATCCCCGAGGTACCACGTAATGCTCTACTATATATTATGTTTTTTTTTCCCACTGTGACACTTGAAGCTCCCTGTAGTGGAACCTAATGCACCTGAGCACTCAGCTGTAAGACATGAGCAAATAAATGCTTCATTGTTGTAGGATCTACACACACACCACTTCACCGTGGACAGCCGTAATAGGCTCATGTCAACTTGAGCTTTGCTTGTGTGTGCAGTTCTGTCCGTGTGTGTGTCCATGCCTGCCAATCAGAACCATGACTTACAGATTTAGGAGGAGAAAATAGAGGAGAAGGGAAGTGAATGTGCAAAACAGTTTATTTGATTCTCTCTTCCTCATTTCTCCGTCTATCAGCCTTTGTCTGACAGGCTAAACCTTCCTCATCTCCAGACGCCAATACTGTCTTGAAAAGAAAAGAGATAAGGGCCACTCCAGGAGCCTCGCACATCTGACCGTCTGCTGTTGTCTGCCGGCATTTCAGCGCCGTAAATCAGAAAATGCCGTCTGAAATGTGTTCCACGTGGACGAAGGGTGTCACAAAAGAGAGACAGACGCGAGGCTCAATGCATATTTATTTCTAAAAAGCAAGTATTACTGCAGTAGCTCTAAACCTTTTGATGCACTTCAGGAAAGGGAAAACCCCAAAAAGCATAATAGGGCCTCTTTAAGATTCAATATTAAAAAAAAACGTAATATGAACATAAATAGTCCCTATATTAACTTTTGGCACTATGCACTCTCGATTTGATCAAGATTAGACCAACATGTTGACTAGATCCAACTGGATGCAAGTGCTTTTTGGTGAATTGGATGAAGAGACCATTTATAGACAACCGTTGCATGCTCTGTAGAGTCGCACAAAACATCAGCCAACTGCATGTATTACTTACAGTAAGTCGCCTGCCTGTAATGAAAGACTGACACTTGTAATCACACATTTGTTCTTAAGATAGAACCCAGCCGACCAAGCAGCAGGCAGCAATCATATCATTTCCTCGGGGACCGAACACTTTTCCCGTCTTTACTGGCTTTCTGCGTAGGTTGTACCAAAATAGAAAGCAAAGGTCCTCAGCAGAGAGCTGCGACCTCGCTAATTAAGAACCAGTATTAAAGGGTAGCAGTAGTTGTTGTGTTCTTCACTGGTTTTGGGAGGGAGCTGATTGTGCTTGAGGCGTACACTAATTAAATCTCCCATATGGTAACTCGTACCATGTCCACACTGGAGGAGCCACTCATGTGAGAGATTGCTCCCTGGCACAATAAGAGGCAGGAAACAAGACTTTTCCTCAGTTGCTCTTAGATGTGGGTGAGCAGGGTGACGGTGGTCGTAGAATAGAGCAAAAGCAAAACAATATAGCGAAGGAGACAATGTTGGATCAGAGGTATAATGTGAGAAATCCAGACTTTGGAGTCATCTCTTATTGACATCTTTCAGCCAGACAGGATTCAGTCTTTCAACAAAATGTGCCACACAGATGTGGTGACAGGGGGATCAGCACGGAGAATGGAGGGAGGGAGCAACAAAGAGATCTTTTCAGTCCAGGTCTCGCCCCCGACATGGCCATTCTCACCCAGGATTGTATTGACTGTCTTCATTGTTCCATCACAAAGCACACAGGTTTATTTGGAGTGAAAATGGGAGGCTTTCACTGTCTTCAGTAGAGAGCCCAAACTGGGCGTGCACACCAAGCATGTCGGAGTTTACTTAAGTTTTTAAAGCCTGGACTGTGATTTTTATGGAGTGTGAATAGAATCAAAAACAGGATATGTCGCATAAAAAAGGTATTATATTACTATAATGGAATGAGTCTCTCTCTATCCTTCAAGTTGCTTGACAACCATTCATATGATCATCTTTGTCCTTTACAATTTTGAATTGCTGAAGACCCAAGGAAGTCCAGTGTCCAGTATGAACTTGTTTTGTTGGCAGTTCTTGAGAAAGCCGCAAGTAGCAATACCAGAGGCCAAGCAGTCGGCAGAACGGGCGCTGCATTAGTGGATATAATTGGACAGCGGTTGACATCTGATGGACAGCAGTTCACTGTGCTTTGAAAGCCAAGCATCATGATTATGCAAACTGTAGTGTGGACTGATTTACATATTCAGATATTCCTTGAGTACTTCGATAATGAGCAACAGTGAAAGTAACCCCTTGCCAAGAGAACAGGCAAGTCAGCCATACCTAACAGAAGTGATTTAGCCTGGAATCTGATTATTTCGATTGGATCGTAACTCCTAATTCCATGTCTTTGCTAAATAACTGCTTCATGATTTAGCATGCAACTAAATTGTTACCGACTCTGGTTTAGAAAACAAAAAAGGAGTGGATTTGTCATGTTTAATTTGCATGGAGAGGGCAATACCTCAGAGCATTGAACACACACACACTGACATTAAGATACAAGATGAATATTGAAAGAGCCACCCTTTTCCACAGGACGAGGCTAAGCCAGTTGTTATTGGGATAAAATCAATCATGAAAGGCAAACAGTAGTCATGACGAACGCTGTAACTCCACTCTACCCAGCGGGCGCAGTTGTTGAGCTCATTACTTCTTAATCAACATGCGGAGAGGCAGCATTATGCAGATGACGCCCTTGTTTACTTTGAAATCTCCATCTCAGGTGACCCATCTGGCTCTTTTTTCGACATTGTCATGAGCGAACCAAGGATGCGTAATCGAGTGGAGGATCAAACATTGATGAATATTATTTAGGCTACATGAACGACGAAAGACAATACCTCTGCCAAAGACGGACATATTTATCTTGCTGTGTGAAATCTGATTCAGCCACAGGTCAGCTCCTTCTGAACCCACCCCAGCTGTGTATTTAATGATGAGTTAGCTTACGTTTTAGAAGCCCACCGCCTTAATCAAATTGTACTGATCATATATCTACCTGGATAAAACACAGCTATTTATATTCATTGTGACCTTTCCCGCCCTACGCAGCTCACAGAACAGTGTGTGCAGACGATGCTGGGTTACTCCGACACCTAAAAATAGCGATGACATCAATCAATGTGTTAATAATAGTCGGTCAGATGGGACGCAAATTCAGTTTTTTGATACCGTTGGATTCATAATAATGAGTCAGAGTGGCGGCACAGGGGGGGCTCAGCTGCTGCACGGAGCACAACAGACATATTGCACACAATGGTCTCTTGCCACAGGGGCGATGTGTTGTTAGGGGAAACTGATCATGATGCAATCCCTCAGGAGACTACAAAATCACGGAGCTTCTTGATAGACCGCAAAGTGGCTGCCAAGAATGACACTAATGCAGAATTATACCACTAATATTTTAGTATGGTTAAGCCAGGGAAGTTCAACAAAGAGGCAGTAGTCGAAAGGCCTTCAAAATGCTATAAATAATCAAGTAGATTCTTGTTGCCATGAGTAGTGTATATAATGTATATTTTTGCCAAATCATTCAATGATATATCATTTTCCCTTGGTTTCAGGAGCAAGAATGTACTTTTGATTAGACTTTTCTTTAAAGTTGAACTATTGCAGACTTATTCTTGTTTCTTTGCAAAACAATAACAAAATAATGTGAAATAATAACATTTTGACATTTAAACAAAACCATTTCCCTGCCCTCTATCCTCATAGTAGTCAGGCATTTTGTATATTCTTCACTGTAGTTATGCAAAAAAAAAAAGAAGAATTGTCAGGACTTTCTCCAAGTTCTTCCGATTGCTCAACACTTGTTACTCATTCATTTCTCCTACCTCACCCTAAGAAGCCTGTACACATCAAGTCCATTCATAACAAAAGTACCTACATCAGCACAATATTCAATCCTGACAGCATAGGAACGTATTTGCAAAATGTCCCCATGTAGTAGCTTGGAGTCTTCTTGTCCATGGTGTGTGTAAATGTTTACATTCCTCCTTTACTACAGAAGCAGGATGATCCTGGTCACAAACTCGATGCTGTTTAGCCCAAGAATTTCTGTAAGTTTACTCAAGTGTGAAACCTCCTTCGAAAGTTAGGTGCCGTTCAGAAAGTTCCTCAACAAAAATAAAAAGCCAACCGTTGTAAGGTTGTAATTTGACCTCCGTGGTGTTAATGAATGCAAAGAGCGCTGCACAAAACACCAAAGGTCTGCATTGGTATGAGCGTTGTTCTAAAATATATACGTTTTGTGCTTCTTTCAAACCAGTTGTTTGAAAGTGCATTATCCATCAGCACTTTCAAAGAATTGTCGTGCCAAAGCAGACATCACACTTCTTCCCAAATGTCTATCGTAACTAACCAAGGCTCAGGAAGAAGTTTGAAA